GGATGCCTACTGGACACAGTGTGACATGCGTACATACGTACATATTCAAATGTACATATATAGGGTCACTTGAGGAGGAGTTGAGGAGCCTTATAACCAAAGGAAAAGAAGAAAGTACAAAAGCTGGGTTGCAGATAAACATCAAAAAAATCAAGATTATAGCAACCAAACTGATTGATAATTGGCAAATAGAGGAAGAAAACATGGAGGCAGTGACAGACTTTGTATTTCTAGGCACAAAGACTACTGCAGATACGGACTGCAGCCAGGAAATCAGAAGACCTTTACTTCTTGGGAGGAGAGCCATGACCAATCTCAATAAAATAGTTAAGGGTAGAAACATCATACTATGCGGCAGCAAAGATCCACATAGTTAAAGCAATAGTATTCCCCATAGCAACCTATGGATGCTAGTTATATGTCACCTTGTCATGCCCAGCATTATTTTTTAAAATTTTAATTATTACATTTGGCCCAGCCATAAGTTTTTAAACGCGTCGTGTTATTGTTAATGTTTATTGCTTATTTTCTGCCTGTGAGTTTATTTATTGTTTTGTATTACCATAAGGAAGATTTAGTGAGGGAAGATAGATTTTTATGAACTGTTGTGTTGGAGGAAAACTCTGAGAGTACCTTGGACTGCAAGAAGATCCAACCAGTCCATACTTCAGGAAATAAAGCCCGGCTGCTCATTGGAGGGAACGATATTAGATGCAAAGATGAAGTACTTTGTCTACAAAATGAGAAGTCAGGAAAGCTTGGAGAAGATAATGATGCTGGGGAAAATGGAAGGAAAAAGGAAGAGGAGCCAACCAAGGGCAAGATGGATGGTTGTTGCCGTGAAGTGACAGGCTTGACTTTGAAGGAGCTGAGGGTGGCCACGGCTGGCAGGGAGCTCTGGCATGGGCTGGTTCATGAGGTCACAAAGACTCAGAATCGACTGAACAAGAGGGAAAAACAACAACAAATAGGGTCACTAGTTTATTAGGTGGTGGGAATGCTATGGATGTCATTTGCCCGGCTTTCAACAAATCAAAACATGATATTTTGAGTAGCAAACTGATTAAATGTGGAATAGATGGAAACACCATGAAATGTATATCCATGGTTATTTGGAAAACTGGGCTCAAAGAGTTATCATCAGTAGCTGTGCTCCAAATTGGAAGGAGATCTCAAGTGGAGTGATTCTAAATTCTCTCCTGAAGATGACACTCTTCAGTATTTTTATCAAAGATTTAGGGGTGATGGAGTGGAGACAATCTTTATCAAATTTGCCAATGATAAAAAAACTGGGAGGGGTAGCTAACATATTGGGATAGAGTGAAACGACTGCCAAAATTACTTAGCCTATCTTCAAAAGGCGATTAAATATGAAAATGTTGTTGCCTAGGGCAGGATATAAACTTTAGTAAATAACTGACAAGAGGGGCAGCGAAAGATTCAACTGATTAAAAAGATTAAACCTTAGAATAGAACACCCTTAAATTATGTTGAAAGAGAGATGAAGGAGCAATTGCAAAAACAATGAACTGAGAGATGTTTTCCCTCTAAGCTGCTTTCTGGTCGCAGTGGTGGTGGGTGTTTACAGAAGAGTTTAAACAGGAAGGAAGTGCAACTATTTATTGAATGCCGCAGTTTACTAAATCACAGATAACATCTTCTCATAATCATTAAGTGTGGCTCTGGCATAGGTGATTTCTTCAAAGGTATAATTAAATCCATGTAGCTCTTTTCTCCTGCTGACAGAGCAGAGTCGCTTCCACCAGATTAAAAATTAATGGATGCACAGATTGGCATCAGTAACTCCATCCTGCTAACTCAACCATTTCCTTCCCCCTCACCCACGTTTCTCCCTTTGTCTCTCTTTCTCTAGAATTATCCTTCTCTTTTCATCACAGTCTCTGAAAATGACCAACGAGTACCTCTGGCAGGGTTATTAAGATACATTTGTAAACTTAGAAAAGCTGTACAAGACAATGCCCAACTCAACACCAGAGATGAAAAAGGTAGCATTAGATATTTTCACATTTTGATGTGATTAGCTAAATCCTTATGTAAAAAATTGTATCAGAAAGGACTATATGTATCTGTGTTTTATTGCCAATCTGAAAGTTCTATTCTAGGAGCAAGAATGTTAGAAGATCCATCATTGCACCAACCTTTTCCTCCAGGAAGATATACTTTAATGAGAATGTGGAACAGATACAAAGTGAGAAGTTTCCCATGACTTCTCTCCCATCGTTGATCCCTAAGTTGTAATTTTAAAAGTTCTGTTTTTAGCTGTGTGCAAGTCTTCATAATCCCATGAATCAATGTCTGTGTATAAGTGTGTCCAAAGCATTCAAGCCAATAGGAAGAGAAAACTATTTGTTTGAAACTTATTTCGCTTGATGAACAATTTAATATGATATGTCCAGAAGGTGCCTGGGTGTCCCCTTAGCCAGGAAAGTCCCAGCATTGTTCCAACTGCACTGGAAAAGAGGACGTTCTGTGGTAACAGATTCTTCCTTCTGCAACATCCATTGTAGCAAACCCTTGTTGGGACCACCTTCCATCTGGAAATGTATGTCCTCACTGGAAAAGACAATGCAGATCCAGAATAGTTCTCTACAGTCATTTATGGACCCATAACTAAGACTACCCTTAGAAGACAATCATACTTGGCATAAGTCATAGCCTGTGATGATGTAGATGAAGTACTTTGGCCACATAATGAGAAGACAGAATAGCTTGGAGAAGATAATGATGCTGGGGAAAATGGAAGGAAAAAGAAAGAGGGGCAGACCAAGGGCAAGATAGATCAATGTTATCCTTGAAGTGACTGGCTTGACCTTGAAGGAGCTGGGGGTGGAGACAGCCAACAGGGAACTCTGGCATGGGCTGGTCCATGAGGTCATGAAGAGTCGGAAGCGACTGAACAAATGAACAACAGCAACAACAACATGTTGATGTAGTACATATGCTTGTACAACAACAGGTTATGTTATCAGCAATATTCTGACTTCAGTTTCCCGCTTCTTCTGAATTGCAAATATTGGAGAAGTGAGAAAGTGTTGTTTGTGAAGGCAATCTGTCATTAAAGTGTGTACTGTGAACGTGTCATTATTATAGTCCTTCCATGTTAACACCTGGATCCCTAGGTTGGGCTAGTGAAGTGAGCAAATGTGTCTTCTTTTAGGATAATGATTTGGAATAAACCAGTATGAGTATTTCATCCACAGCATTCTTCAGTTTTTAAATAATGTCATAATTTCACTTTCATCACCAATAAAAATGGACTTCTTCATATCTAGAATAACATGTCCTGTTTCCTTATACTGACTTCTGTTTGGTTTTCTTTTATATTTGTTTCAGAACTTCAACCACCTAACATCATCTTAGATGTTCACTCGGGAGGGAGTCACTGTGCTCCTTCATGGGAAGAGTCCTTAAATCAGGTATGCACCTTTTTTGCAAAGAGTGGAAGAAAGCTGTACAAAAGCATGTACAGGTTACAGTGGTGGCCAGGGGAGCTTTCATACAATTAAAACATGTGTGCCAGCTGCGCCCATACCTTTGGAAGTCAGACTTGGCCACGGTGGTCCATGCTCTCGTTACATCCAGGATAGACTACTGGAATGCACTCTACGTGGGGTTGCCTTTGAAGACTGCTCAGAAGCTTCAAATAGTCCAACGAGAGGCAGCCAGGTTAATAACTGGGGTGGCATACAGGGAGCATACAACTCCTCTGTTGCGCCAGCTCCACTGGCTGCCAGTTTGCTACCGGGCACAATTCAAAGTGCTGGCTTTGGTCTATAAAGCCCTATTTCGGCCTTGGCCTGATTTGCCTGTCCGAATGCATTTCCCCCTATGAACCATGGCGAAGATTAAGATTCTCCGTCCCACCATTGTCACAGGCGCGATTGGTGGGGACGAGATACAGGGCCTTCTCAGTGATTGCCCCCCTGCTATGGAACTCTCTACCTGGCGAGATCAGATCGGCCCCCTCCCTCCTGTCCTTCAAAAAGATGGTAAAAACTTGGCTGTGGGACCAAGCTTTCGGGACAGGGCAATAAAGCAGCAATAGGAAAGATTACCAGGCCAATTAGATTAGACGCAGATGACCAAGACGGTTTTAAATGGTGTATTTTAATATTGAGAGAAATGATTTTAATGTTTTATGTATGTATATATGAATTCTTTTCCCGGCATTGAATGTTTGCCGTATATATGCTGTGCTCCGCCCTGAGTCCCCTTTGGGGTGAGAAGGGTGGAATAAAGAAATAAAGAAATAAATGTAATTACTACTCTTCCCACACCAAAAGAAAGGTGGCATGTAACTGAAATAAAGAAAGTATTCTGTTTGAAAAGAAAACCATCCTTCTTAAGTATAGACATAACCTTGTACCAGTTGAGCATCCCTTATTGAGAATTCTGAAATGCAAAATAGTTCACATGAGTGACTGAGGTAGTCATGCACAAAATTATTAAAAATACTGTGTATACAATGTCCTTCAGTCTATATGTATCATATGTCTATGAAACATAAGTGAATTTTGCATTTAGACTTTGGTTCCATCTCCAAGATGGAATGTACATACAACAACAGGTATTCTAAAAGTATTTGGGGGGGGGGGGGGGGAATCTAAAATTTTTTTTGATCCCAATCACTTTGTATAAGTAATAATCTGTAATGTTGGTGCTTTACAAAAGAAATCATGTTACTTTTCTCCATAAGAAAACCCCTTCACCAAAAAGAACAGCTTTGCAATTCCTAATTAAATTTAATTAATTCTTTGCCCCACTACCCTCAGTGAGACGTAATGGGTTGATTTGTGGGTTAATGATGCATAGTATCAGAGCTTAGAAATAATTAAATTTAACTCATTTTGTGCTAATTTACTCTGCATTCAAAGTGAATAGGAAAATAGACAGTGACTTATTATACACAAACTATTTATGGTTAAAATTAGAGCTTTGATTCACTAACTAATAATTGTAGCACCTATTTATGTGTATCTTTGTGACATCTAGTGGAACGAATACATGCCATAGTATTTGAAGGATGACTGAACACCATACAAGTTGTGGGGCAAGGGGAGACGGAAGACCAAGATCAGTAACAAAACAGATAATTAGATTCCATGCTTTTGGATAGTCTTCTCCATCCTAGCAGTTTCCAGATGGAGTGCCAAGAGAGTAGGAGAGGAGGTCATTGCTTCTTTTAAGCCTTTCACAGGACAGACTAAACCAAGCATGGGCAAACTTGGGCCCTCTAAGTGTTCTAGGCTTCAACTCCCACAATTCCTAACATCCTACTGGTCCAAGTTTGCCCATGCCTGGACCATCTGAACGTATCTCCCTCTATACGCCAGTTAGAGCATTAAAATTGGCTGAGGAATTCCTTCTCTTGGTCCTGCCGCCTTCACAGATGCGACTGGTGGGGGATAAGAGTCAGGTGACACCTCGGTTGTGGAACTCCCTTCCTAGTGAAATCAAATCAGTCCCCTCCCTCCTGACATTCAGGAAATTATTGAAAATGTGGCTTTTAAAGCAAGCATTTGGAGAGTGAGATGAAGCAGCCAAAATAACTTTGGGATTGGTGCAATGTCCAGTGTTGTATGTTATGTTTTTTATGTTTGATGTTTGATAGTTCACTGAATTTAATCTAGTATCTGCTATTTTAGTTATGTGTTGTGTTTTATACTTTGCGAGGCAAGGAATTTTGCCATTTGCTTTATTGTGAACCGCTTTGTGTCTCCTTAGAGTAGAGAAAAGCAATATATAAATGAAATAATAAATAAACCCATACCTTCCACCACTCTGCTCAGAGATTTTTTGTTTTTTGGTCGTGTCAGGAGCGACTTGAGAAACTGCAAGTCGCTTCTGTTGTGAGAGAATTGGCCATCTGCAAGGATGTTGTCCAGGGGACGCCCGGATGATTTGATGTTTATCATCCTTGTGGGAGGCTTCTCTCATGTCCCCGCATGAGGAGCTGGAGCTGATAGAGGGAGCTCATCCACCTCTCCCCGGATTCGAACCTGCAACCTGTCGGTCTTCAGTCTTGCCGGCACAGGAGTTTAACCCACTCAGAGATGGAAATAGTTTATTTTTTATAAGTGTCAATAGTTTACCTTAACTTTGATGATGATGATGAAGATGATGATGAAAACTGATGACAGCTTTCATCAGACAGACTACAAGCAGAGGCATAACACCGTTGCTCAGATGATTCATTGGAACCTGTGCCACAAATACCATCTGCCTGCAACAAAGAACTTCTGGGATCACAAGCCAGAAAAACTTAAAGAAAATGAACACGTCAAACTCCTCTGGGACTTCCGAATTCAGACAGACAGAGTTCTAGAGCACAATACTCCTGACCTCACAATAGTGTTAAAAAACAAAGTATGGATTGTCGATGTTGCAATCCCAGGTGACAGCAAGATTGAAGAGAAACAACTAGAAAAGCTGACATGATATGAGGATTTAAAGATTGAACTTCAAAGATTCTGGCACAAGCCAATAAAGGTGGTCACAGTGGTAATCGGCACACTGGGTGCAGTGCCTGAAGACCTTGGCCTGCACTTAAACACAATTGGCGCTGACAAAATTACCATCTGCCAGCTGCAGAAGGCCACCTTACTGGGATCTGCATGCATCATTAGCCGATACATTGCACAGTCCTAGACATTAGCCGATACATCGCACAGTCCGACGTGTGATCCAATACAACAGCCAGTAGAGTGATCTTGTCTGCTGTGGACTCATCTTGTTATGTTTCAAATAATAATAATAATAATAATAATAATAATAATAATAATAATAATAATAATATAAACCCAGCATATATATCTCATTTGCTGTGACATACTGTGATTTTTGTCATAATAACAATAATAATAATAATAATAATAATAATAATAATAATAATAATAAGCCATCCTCTCCAAGTAGAGTGAGCAAAGACCTTTTAAATATCTGGATGGGAAAATGTCAATGATGGGGCTAGCACTTTCATCTCTCCATGGCATGACCCTTGACTTATCCACAAGTCATGTCAAAACCTATAATTGTGGCCCCAAGACCTACCCTTGATTTATGCATAGGTAAAGGTAAAGGTTGTCCCCTGACATTAAGTCCAGTCATGTCTGACTCTGGGGTGTGGTGCTCATCTCCATTTCTAAGCCAAAGAGCTGGCGTTGTCCATAGACACCTCCAAAGTCATGTGGCCGGCATGACTGCATGGAGCGTCGTTACCTTCCCACCGGAGTGGTACCTATTGATCTACTCACATTTGCATGTTTTCGAACTGCTAGGTTGACAGAAGCTAGTGCTAACGGGAAGCTCACGCCGCTCCCCGGAATCGAACCTGCGACCTTTCGGTCAACAAGCTCAGCAGCTCAGCGCTTTAACCCACTGCTCCACCGGGGGCACGATTTATGCATAAGTTTGACTTAAATAAAAATATAACCAGAAGTCCTAAATTTCATTGTGTAGGAAAAGAACATACAAAAATATTTAATTGTTGCTTCAGTGATTCAGTATAATTCAGCTGTTCTGAAAGAGTGCATATGAAGTTTTTTGCTTAACATAGAATGCATACACAGAAACAAGTTACCGTCTTCACCCACTTGCTGCCATGGAAGGAAGCAAAGCAATTTTGAAAGCATTTTGTGACACAACCTTCAGAGCTAGTGCTGCTGTTCTGATCACAAGCTGTGTTATACCTGACAGTAATGCTCAATTCACAGGAAGCTTTTCTGATCTCAGTGAAAAGCCCATTACAGCAGCAGCCATTTTCTAAAGAGAATTGAGCAGGAAGAACTCTGATTACTCTTCAGATGGCAGGAGAACCCACATGATTATCCCCAATGTTATAAGAGCACGAATAGCTTTGGAGGAGAACCAGCAGTGGAGCTGGAAAGAGCGGGTAATCTCTCTCTGAAGAGTGGTAAAGGCTACAAAGAATGAGTCTGTTGTTCTTTAACAATGAAAAGGGTTTTTTTTTATTGTTTTAGGTTGCAGCACAACTGGCATTTCTGTACAACGAGCTTGGACTTGACAAACAAGAGTGAATCCGAAAAGCTGGAGAGAGGTTTTTTGCCAATTGCTAAAACCAGAAGAAATACTTCGGACGGAATAAATAACTATCCATCATGTGATTTTTAAAAATCATCTAATTTCTACTGTTATCTCTTTTCCTAAGAATAGAGAAAATCTTATTTTTGTTATATTCGAAATGTTACTGTTTTATTAAATATTATCACTGTTCATTCGTATATTTGTTTCCTTGATTTTATCCAAACCATAGTGCACTCACCACAACTCACAAAACCGAAAAATTTCCAGGACTAAATTAGTAGTATTATAAAATTATACAGTGAAAATCAGTGATAAGACCCAAATTAGAAAGATGGTTGTTGAAATAGTCTTCACCACACACTGAAAAGACAGGTAATGTGTGACACAGTAACCTCTTTATGGAAATTTGCACAATATGTGTGTCACAATTGAGATGCCTCTATCTAGTGTCCATTCTTTATGCATCAGGCATCAAAGTATGCAAATGGGCTTTGTTACAGAACTATGGAATTGGAAGCAGTTCATTATAGTGCAGGGGCTTATTAAATATGGAAACTACTGGATGACATATGTTCTGTATCAGAAACTAGAGCTGATGTGGTCTATCCAATGCAGTTTTCTGAATCAGCATCCCAAATAGCACCCCAAATAACCAAACCGAATCTAAAGTTGACCAAAAAACTATTTGTAACCCTTTTGGTACTAAGGTTGGAGAGTGGTCCCTAGTCAAAATGGTCCATAGTAAAAAAAAAAAAAAAAAGCTTGGTAACCACTGCGCTGAATGGTTCTGGCCCAGTTTACCTGTCCGAATGTATCCCCCCCTATGAACTAGGCACAGACGTGAAGATCAAGGGAGGCCCTGCTCTCGGTTCCACCTCTTTCACAGGTGCAGTTGGTGAGGACAAGGGACAGGGCCTTCTCAGTAATGGCCCCTTGGCTGTGGAACTCACTTCCTAGTGAAATTAGATCAAGTCCCTCCTTCCTGGCCTTTAGAAAGAAACTTAAAAACTGGCTGTGGAACCAAGCATTTGGAGAGCAGCATATTGCATTAGAGTGATCCCTGGTGAAAGTAGTCACTGGTCAAAGTAGTCTCTGGTCAAAAAAAGCTTGGGAATCACTGATCTAAGCAGTCTGCTGATTAACTGTACAGTGATTAAATGCCTTCTGCTACTACTTTACTACTAATGTTACTACTAATTAAAATACATCAGACTTTTACGAAAAAGTCAGGCAATTGAAAAATAGGGAAGTCAGGCCTAGAGACCAAGGATTGACATACTCTCTCCCTTGATCTGCTCTGTAATCTGTCAGAGGGTTCATCTTTACATAGAATTAATGCAGTTTAACACCACTTTAACTGTCGTGGATCAAAACTATAGAATCCTGGGATTTGTAGCTTGGTATGACACCATCACTCTTTGGCAGAGAAGGCCTTGTAAAACTACAACCACAAGCATTTATCTGCTATTGTTCAATCCATAGCATTGAACCATAGCAGATAAAGTGGTGTCTAACAGTATTAATTCTAAAGTGTAGATGTGCACTCAGACAAAAAAAAATCCACATTGGAAATGACAGCTATACAATTCTTTCTGAGCCCACAGTCTGTTTCCAGAACTAACATTTAAATACTGGAATAATTAAAGTCAAGTCAATCCATTAAAGTATTTCATTCATGAATTCCTTTCCCAATGTCTGATGTTTAACCCTTATCAAATTAATTTTCAAATCTACTATCCAAGGTTTTTCTGATCACACATTCACGTACCATGCTCCTAAAAGAAGTAGATATTAGTGATGGGACAGTGATTTTCACATACCTCTTGGTCTAAGGAGTGCATCTTCAATCACTATACGGTGGATGCCTGCCATAGATGCAGGCAAAACATCAGGAGAGAATGCTTCTGGAACATGACCATGCATCCTGAAAAATTTACAGCAATCCTATGCTTTAATTCCTCATTCAACCTATGAAATCCATCTTTAAAGCCACCCAAAACGATGGAGAGTGCTACAGAATGATATGAATTGGGGGGCAACACTTCAAGGAGCAGAAGAAGAAATATAAAATGACTAAAAATGGCCAGGCACAAATGAATGTAATAAGAAACATAATCATTACATAGAAATAACATTATTAGCATTTCATGGTAAAAGTATGATTTTTTTTAAATCAATTTTGAAACGTTATGCAAATAAGGACAACAAATCAGTTACCAGTTACTAAATTCTTCCAAACTATGGCAAAAACTTTCCACCTGCTGCTCAAAGCAGGAACTTATTTCTGTTGAGAGATATTTTCTATGAATGAGGAAAATAGTGCTGCAGGCAGACTATGGTTATAATCTGTTTTATCTAAGCGAGGAGAAATATACTATAAAGTAAATCATTGAAACTGATGGGTAACATTTCTATTATCTGTTTATGTGTGCTGAAATGATAACAAAATGTATTCTAAGCCTTTCAACACATCGGCAGTCCTTTCGTCAAGAAATTATAAATGATTTTCAAGTCATGGATCTGGAATAAACAGTCACTGGCACTTAGCAGTACATATAGAGTAGATTGAAGGCACTAGAATAGCATGCCTTTTCTGCTATAAAACATTTCTCTTCTAAAGTTTTCATGTTGTGGATGGGCTGGTTTGTCCTGTATTCCAAAATCAGCCCTTCGCCCTTTTCAGTTTTGATAGAGCTTGTTTTTACACCTTTGCCCTTGTTGTTTGGGTTGGTGCTTAGCTTTACAACGACATCTGAAGGAAGTTCAGGAACCAAAGCTTGCAGGTCTGTTGTAGCCTCCTGTCCAAAATTCAGGACCATCATAAACACTTGGTCCAACCCATCAATTTCTCTCACATATGCAAAAACATCGCTGTCATTCCAAATATAACACATCCATCCCCTTTGAATGGGGAGTTCGTTGTTGCGAAGTGAATTAAGTTCTCGATACAAGTTGAGGGTAGAATTTGGTTGACTCTGTTGAACCTGCAATATATTGAAACATTTAGTAATTTCCTAGATGCTAAAAACATGGCCCTCCTTATCATAATTCCTCTAACATTCTCCCACCAACCCTATATTTATTTCCTTGCTATATAACCTGTGTAGATATTTATTTATTTATTTATTTATTTATTTATTTATTTATTTGCAGTGTTTATATTCCACCTTTCTCATCCCGCAGGGGACTCGGGGCGGATTACAATGTACATATACATGGCAAACATTCAATACCATAGACACACGACATGTATAGACAGACACTCAGAGGCTATACAACATTCCAGCGTTTCATGAGAGTATTCTGGCCACCAAGGGAGCTGTCCATTTGTGACACTGATAAAGTACTTCCTCATTCTTTGAATGCTTGCTGGAGATGTTTATGGCCTCGTAAATTAGTTAAATGAGCCTCCCCACATAAGGGTACCTAAATTTCCTACTTGACAGATGCAACTGTCTTTTGGGCTTCAAAGGTCGACAGCAAGCTACACAAATTGGTAGGAAGCTCACTCCGACCTGAGCTCGCTTCGAACTCATGACCTTTCGGTCAGTAGTGATCTTAATGCAGCTGACTCCCAGTCAGCTGCGCCACAGTCCCGGTGGCACTTCTGCTACTTCTGCTACTTGCCTTCACATTTCTGTAAACTCACCTACCTATAAACACATATGATGACATTTCTATACATTCTTCCACCCCTTAGTCAAGCCTTCCTTCTGTTGTGTCACTATTCTATATTTTAGATTAAAAGATATTGGAGAGCATATAATGTAATTCCAAAACATCATATACACTGATGGAGGAGTAGGATGACAAGCATCACCACCACTATCAAGATCTATCCTCTCTTGTAAGGGAAAAGAATGGTTAAGATTCTACATTGGAGGTGAAACTATGCTTCATCTATTGATATGATCCCCAAAATCCACCTTAAAAGCCAGTCAGATGTAGGGTGCCTCAGGATAATGTGAGCACTCCCATTCTGCCAACAAATGATAGTATGATATTGGGTTGCTGTAAGTTTTTCAGGCGGTATGGCCATGTTCCTGATAGTGTGATGAACAGTTGTGAGATCCACAGGGATCGTTCAATACTGGGAGGAGCTGCTCATGTCATCATGCAACATGCAGCTCACCAGCATCATAGACTTCTATCACATGGAATTGCTGGCTGGCTTTTAAGGAGCATTTCAGGAGCAGTTATGATCAGGGCAATAGTACCATAATCAGAAATGCGAGTAGGAAACACACAGTGATAAGTCTGACTTTGGACATTGTAACTGTCTAACAGGATTTCTGTCAATATTTTACATTTTTAGTTCATTTGCTCCAGCCATACGTACAAGCACATTCATATTTGGATAGTCAGGATTTACAGGAAGCCAAGTTGAATTGCCCCCAGTAAAGCCAGCATAATCACCACCATCCCATTGCATAGGTGACTTTTCTGGAAAGGATGCCTGAAAGGAAAAAATATTATTCATTATGAAATAGAATACCATCATGGCTGCTGCAAGTTGCCACATTTGCAAGTGACAAAGCATTACATTTTTTAAAAAGCAGTTACCCGTATAGACTCGAGTATAAGCCAACCCAGATATAAGTCAAGGCACCTAATTTTACCATAAAAAAACTGGGAAACCTGAGTATAAGACAAAGGTGGCAAATGCAGCAGCTACAAGTAAATTTAAAAATAAATAAATAAATAAATAATATTATTTGAGGCATTAGTAGGTTAAATGTTTTTGAATATTTACATAAAACTGTAATTTAAGATAAGAGAGCCCAACTCTGATTAAACCATTATTCTAACCTTCTTCAATGTAAATGCGCTTACGTATCCTTCCAATAATAACAGAGTAAAATAATAAATGTAATAATAATAACAGAGTAAAATAATAAATATAATAAAATAATAATAGATTAAAATAATATAATAATAATAAATAGAGTAAAATAATAAATGCAATAGTAATAATAATAATAATAATAATAATAATAATAATAATAAAATACCAAAATTGCAATGTAGGTTGCCTTCTTCCATGAAGGAAATGAGGAGGCAAGAATGGTGGGTGGGAGTATTCCTCAGGAGGTAAAATGGCAGGAATGAGGCAAAAATGTCTTTACTAATAATATAATATATTATATATACATATAATATTTATAATATTATAATATAATACAATATAATAAGTAGTAATAATACAATATTATAATTATAATTATATATTTATATTACATGTAATATTACTAATAATATTACAATATAGTGGTGTTGTGCAATATAGTAATATATAATACTGATATTGTACTATGCTAATAATACAATATATTGTATGTATATATATCTTGTAAGCCGCTCTGAGTTCCCTTCAGGGTAAGAAGGGTGGCATATAAATGTCGTAAATAAATAAAATAAATGAATAATAAAAATATCAGTGTATACAGCAGAGTACCTTATGATGTGACAGATGTTCATAAGATCATGGAAACTAAAATAATTCAAGACTCTGAAAAATTATTACATATATGCAAAGTACATTAAAATAAAGAGGAATTCAGACTATAGATATTCCAATTCTCATAATAGGAAGATTTTTTTCACAGTGATTGTTTTCAGTATGAATTTTTCTGCTCTGCAGTAACACATTGTGGAGTTAGAAATTCAGAATGTTTAGCTTACAGCCTCTGAAGTGATATCTTCCATCCCTATTTCTTCACCATAATAGGTCACAGGTGTTCCAGGAAGAGTTAGAAGAAGCATATTTATCACATTTATGTATTCCCTTCCAACCCGAGAGGAGATTCGTGCAGTGTTGAGGTCTCCAACCTAAAATTAAAGTAAAAATTAAGTGGGGGTTTTGTCTCCGCATACTCTTTCTACCACTTACAGAAACTCCATTTTCATTTGCAAATATCCATGTCTTTGCACAAGACACTTTTACAACTCATTATGATGTCATTGCATTGTATATCTGCTTGCACTTGTTCTTCTCCTAGTACTTTCAAACCACTGGCAAACACAGCTATTAGGGACTGAACCTTCCTGGTTGCGTGAACCTAAATTCACAATAATGCTGCAAAGCTGAAATGCCCTGAAGGTATACTTACATTGGATTTCTCCATTGTGTGAGCAGCAATTTCCCTTTCAAAAATGAACAAACTATTTGAGCAGTGAAGTATCAAATGCCATCCTTCAGCAGGGAATTCCAAAAACGTAAAATTGCTTGCCCAACAGACCTATAATGAGGTAACTGCATCTAGGCCGCTAGACTGGAGAAAATCCATATTTTCTAATTGTCTCTTTCTTTTTAAGATGGACAATACGTGAAACATTTCCATGAGATATCTACTCCAGGACCATCTCTACCATTAGGGAGTGTGACACATGTCATTTCAGCTAACTGACTGGGAGGCAGAAATGAGATGTTCAAGAATAGAGTCATGTCTTAGGAAATGTATCCTAAGCTAACCTGCTTCCTTTAGATGTGACAGAGCATCTTGTCCAATCACTAGTATTGAGGAAATACTCAACTGCCAACTCGGGGTGCATCCACACTGTAAAATGAATGTAGTTTGGTACCACTTTAACTAACATGGCTCAGTGCTATGGAACCATAGGAGTGATGGTAGTTAAACAAGGTCTTTAGCCTTCTCTACCAATGAGTGTTAGTATCCCACCAGACTACAATGCTTAGGATTTCATAGTATTGTGCCCTGGCAAACTGCATTAACTTACAGTGCAGATGCACTCTTACTTAGCCTTTGTACATAAAACATTGTCTTCTTTGACTGTTTTTTCAGGACAACAAAATGTCTTATGAACACTACATGAGACATAGCCTGCTCTTACTTGCTAGTATGTTAACTTGTGACACTCAAATTAACAAAGTTCGTATTTCTAAAGAGATAAGCCTTGTTTTGTGAGGGGGGGGGGGTGGCCTATATGATAAAGTACTTGGATAGATTATTCCCCCTGTGGAAAAGTTTCGTTCATAATTTTACTATATTGACTGAGTGCACACATGCTTTTTAATCACACTGCTCAATATTCACAACAAACTGGTTTAATATTGCTTTCCGCTAAACGAGATTGTGCTCCATGCAGAGTAGAGGAAATAAATTGTTCTGAGGTCACCAAACACAAAGGAACAGCCTAGTCAGACCAAGTCTAATTATCAAAAATAAAAACCTGTGTGCCACAAAATATTACATTCAAACAGCAGGATTTCTCATTTTATTACAAAAAAGCAGAAAAAAGGAGAACAAGTGGAGAGATACAGTTATGACCGTTTTTAAACTTTTCTGTTTGTTGTTCATTTGTTCAGTCTTTTCCGACTCTTCGTGACCTCATGGACCAGCCGACACCAGAACTTCCTTTTGGCTGTCACCACCCCAAGCTCCTTTAAGGTCAATCCAGTCACTTCAAGGATGCCATCCATCCATCTAGCCCTTGGTCGGCCCCTCTTCCTTTTTCTTTCCATTTTCCCCAGCATAATTGTCTTCTCTAAGCTTTTCTTTCTTCTCATGAGGTGGCCAAAGTACTTCAGCTTTGCCTCTACTATCCTTCCCTCCAGTGAGCAGTCGGGTTTTATTTCCTGAAGTATGGACTGGTTGGATCTTCTGGCAGTCCAAGGCACTCTCAGAACTTTCCTCCAACACCACAGTTCAAAAGCATCTATCTTCCTTCACTCAGCCTTCCCTTTTCTGTAGCTTGCTATATTGAAGGGTTGTTGCATTTTTTTTCATTGCTTAGGCCACAATTTTGGAAATCGCATGACTGATTCAATTTTCCCAGGATGTTTTTCAACCTCAACATCTATCCATCCATTAGCTGCTGTTGTCACTCCACATCTGCAAATTTCACTTTTGTTGATTTGATTCACAGATTTGATTAACATGTTCTCTTGAGGTATCTCTAGATCAGGCATGGTCTGGGTTTGCCCATGTCCGATGTAGATCCTCCAGTGTCACCTATGTTCTTCTGCGATAGACCTACACAAGAGGACCTAGGAATTCCTAGGGAATATATTTCTCTAGCCATTTGTAGGTCCTCCAGCATAATTCTATTCTGTGTCAGACAATGACCACATAAATGCACTGGAGGACCTAGAGATTTCTAGAGATGGGTTTTTGTAAGATTTTCTGGCTGTATGGCCATGTTCTAGAAGCATTCTCTCCTGACGTTTCACCTGCATCTATGGCAGGCATCTCCAGAGGTTGTGAGCCCTCACTTACTGGTGGTCAACCTTATCTACCTTGTAAAATTGTTGTGAATTAAAACAAGGGATAAATATTCCTTCTGTGGCCTTTTAGAAAGAATACAACTACAAGTAACCTTACAAAACCATATATATCTACTTTCAAATCAGAAGTATTTTTCACTAAGTTCAATTAAATTCATTCCTAGGAGAATGTTCTATACATGCTAACCTAGACAAAAAGTTCAATGAACTCAATACGTTTACTTCTCCATACATTTTCACTGTAAACAAATAAAATGAGCAATTGCTTGGCTGTTGAGTTTGTAAGATTGCTTAGCAAGTAGTAAAACAACTACAAGCACTTGAGACCAAATGCTTACCGCCCAGTTTGGCCATTTCCCAGTTGGCATATTTTTCATCCACAAAGCTACAATTTCAAAAACAGCATCTCCCGAGATTTGTTGCATGTTCATGAAGTGAAGATTAAAAGGAAAGTCTGCTTCTTGGATAAATGGTGTTCCATAATACATCATAGTTTTTTCTATGTTCTCTCCATCATTGGCTTCAGTTCCCATAAATCTTCAAAGGAAGACAACATTTGGATTGGAGTTTTTTAAACAAATTGTTTATAAAATTGTTACTCATTTTGTACAGAAAAAGGAAGGAAGGAAGGAAGGAAGGAAGGAAGGAAGGAAGGAAGATAGGAAGGAAGATAGGAAGAAAGATAGGAAGGAAGATAGGAAGGAAGACAGGAAGTAAGACAAGAAGGAAGACAGTGAGGAAGACAGGAATGGATTGGAATGATAGCTATTTATCAAATGTCACTTTGGATCCTATTATGTGTTTCAGTATAATATTGAAATGGATAATGTCTGCTGAATGTTAGCATAAAGTCATCTTAGAGGACCTAGCAAATTCCTAGAGAGTATGTGGTAAATTCAGGAGCGTATTGCACATGGACAAGCCAGTTGTATTGTATAACTCCATAAAATAAACAGTTAATTCAGAGTAGGGGAAATATGCACTTCAAAACATAGACACATGTGCAAACTATGTCCAAGCATTAAAAAAAACCCTTGAAGAGCCCTATTAGAGACCAAGAAATTGTTACAAACACACACAAACAACCCAGAATAGAACCAATAGATGCAGAGATTACAACAACTGGTAAAACTTGGTAAAATACAAGGAGCTCTGGGATAACAACTTAGGCTTCTTTAATTCAGTCTTACAAGAGCCTTGGTATTTATTTATTTATTATTTATTTACAGCATTTGTATACCGCTTTTCTCACCCCAAGGGGGACTCAAAGCGGTAGATGAAGATATCACAGTGTTCCTACCTGTATCTCCCAGGTTCGCTGCTGAACTTATCCATTGTATGCCGGAAACTGCGGACTATATCATGCATGCCAACTTGGGTGGTGGTATAGTCATGGTACAGTTCAGAATAGGTTTTAATACTGTCCTTGAAGAATAATAAGAGACACACAAATCCTCTGACTATGGTAATTTCCACTCTCTCCCAAAAATAAAGAGTTTTGAGATCTGAGCTTGAAATATTATTTTCAGAAGTTAACTAACTTAAATAAGTGAATGATTATATTGTTGCTGTTGTTGTTCCACTTTTCTCTCTTGATCAAGGCCCAAAGCAGCTTATTATGCCCAATGATGTAATGCCATGTGTACATTTTGCAGTTCAGGGATTCATCATGACAGTCTCCTCACTAAGGATAATACAGAATTGTAGGCAACTGTATTGCTCCATATCAACAAAGATATAACAGCTTCCCTCTCCACCAACAGGTGATCTTTTGTAAAGCGGATGGGTCTTGACCACCCAACACAAAACCAAGCTAACCCAAAATAACTGGCATTGCAGTAGAGATAGCTCACTACAAGATAGTGGTGCTGGAAAATACATACATATCTGCTACTGTGGGGATTACAGCTCATCTCAAAAAGTAACAAGGAAATCTGTAGAGTTGGTGAAACAGTCATAACCAAAAATTACAATAACTCCTTCCAGCATTCATATGATGACCTACTCATATTGCCTTTCCTCCTGACTTTGTCCTCCTATGACCATTGTTAAAACTGAATTTGTCACCCATCACCACACCCTCAAATTTTGTGTTTTTATGGCTATTCACACATGTACAGTCTACCTATAAAGGTTTGTTCCTAGGCATTTCACTCCATGCATCTGAGAAAGTAGACTTAGTATATGAAAGCTTATGCTACCAATTAGATTTTCTCAGTCTGCTACAATATCCCTTAGCATGCTGATTAAAAGTATTATAGCATATAATGGCAGATGCGAGAAACACTGATTTGTTCCCCCAGCAAGAAGATAAAACATATAAACTGTTACCGGATTTTGGGATTTATTCACTTGAGGCTCATCTCTCAGGTGCGTTGCTTCCAGAAGGAATTTAACAGTGCGGATGCTAAATCCATCGATGCCTTTGCTAAGCCAAAACTGAATAACATTCTAAACATATATATAAAAAAGAAACAACAAACAATGATTTCCAGATTGTTCAAATAGAGCATATTCTATATAGTTGTACAAACATCACAAGCTGATGTTGCAGTTTTGAGCTTTGATGCTTGTTTGTAAACACTGCGTAGTGTAATGTGACATTCCATTGAAAGAAGTTACCATCCTAATCCCTATAGCCTTATCTCACGGGGAGCCCATGGCAGTGTGCAACCCAAGGAGAATCCAAAATTATAGATTGTTGTGTTGAAACATATAGCTGGGGAAATCTGGCTTCACATTTCCAATGAGACATGATATTTACCAGGAAACCTATCGGAGCCTAGCCCACCCCATGATGAGATTGTATGATCCAACCTGTCCTCCAGCCAAGCTTGGAATGCTAGTGTTAGAATTCTGGTACAGCTCTATGATTCTGCTATGGCTACCTGTCCTCCGTCCCAGGTCATACTATGCTGCAGTGATAACTCTGCTACTGTTTGGCTGGTAAAGAGCCAGGTTGTGGGATTAGAGAAGCATGTGGCTGTGTCCCCATATCCAGATACTGCATCCCCAAAGCTAGATATAGACTATGGACATTTTTCACCAAGACATTCTGGGGTCCTATGAAAGTCTTAACACATGATGTCAGTCTGTGTCTAATCATAGCCATATGCTTCTCCAATCCACTCTCGTCTCCACCAGCATGGAATGGCGATTGGAAGTGGCTATTACAACAACACAGTGACTCCTTGGTGGGCTTTGGAGGGAAGAAAGGAATACTTATTTCCACCATGAATGAAATGGAATTACACTTGCATATGTCACTAAAATATGTCACCATGATGTTACTAATGGACCCAGACCTTAGAGTCCTTTCATGCATTGTATTTGAGTTACTGTCCTCAGCCAATGATTATTTCTTTAATTGATTTCTCTGACTGGGATTTATTAGATTCTCTTTCAACCCAAATATAGTTTAGCTCATTGGCAGAATCCCATGGTAAAGCTTTTCTACCCATTAGTAAAGGGGCCAGGCTATAGCACAGCTGGTTGTCAGCAGCAATAGATCACTGCCGTCCGGAAGGTGGCAAGTTCGAAGTCCGAGTCAGATTGAGCGCCCAACCATTAGACCAGCTCACTATCCACCTAAACAATTTGAAAAAAGCTGAGCGGCGAGTAGAGAAATTAGGCACCACTTATCAGGGAGGCGTTTTACGACACCATAAAAATGTCAGTGATCAAAGAACCAAAGAGCGTTCACCATCATAGTGGCTGGAGCGGGAGTACCCTCCCCCCCCCCCCCCCCCCCCCCCGGTGGCTGGGATTGAGCATAACCTCCAGGTGCCAAAGTTGGAAAATGCCAAAATACCTCTATCTGTCTGTCTGTCTTGTATGTCTAAAAATGACATTGAATGTTTGTCATGCATGTGTGGATTGTGATCCGCCCTGAGTCCCTTCAGGCTGAAAAGGGCGGAATATAAATACTGTAAATAAATAGATAAATAAATAGTAAATCAGAGGGAAACATTTAGCATGGCCACCAAACAAATTTTCTATGGACCATTTTCCATAGAAGAATGCTCTAACATTCAACTTTGACTGCTGTACTGAAGAGATGCCATAACTTAGTCTGTTTTTACACCATTCTACTCTACATTTCTAAATTCCTGACTTGTATCCATCCATGAATGGAGTGATGTCTGAGAAAACAACATAGAGGTATCATTACTGATAAAAACTAGTAATACATGCTCATTATTCCTCAACATATTATGAGTTGAATCAAATCATTCTGCTTGTCAAGAGGACTGTCTATATTTCTTAATGAGAGAAATTCCATTGGTACTCACATGAATTTCATCTTGAACATCTGGGTTACGAAAGTTTAAATCTGGCTGTTCTTTTCCAAACTGATGTAAGTAACATTGTTCTCTCACATCATCATACTGCCAACTGGAATTTCCCGCTATGCTCACCTGGTTGTAAAATAACCAAAATATCTTGTTTTATCAGACGATAGAATTATCATTCCTAGAACGCTCCTCGTAGATATACCATAAGCATGATGAACTAAAGTCCTTTGTAAGTAGAATAGAAGAACGCAATTGAATTACAACTAAAAATAGACATAACATTTGCAGCTGAAACCTCTCCACCTATATTTGCTTATGCTGTGATGTCATTGTGTTGTTTATTTTTCTATCTTCACTAACAATAGTGATTAATTTTGAACAGAAAGAATTTGGAATATTCCTCCAGTCTATGGCTAAATCCCCTTAAGCAGCCAAAGTTTGTCTGATCTTGGAAGTTAAGTAGTGTCTGATCTTGAAAGTCAACACTGTCTAGTACTTGGATGGAAGTCCACCATGAATGCCAGGTGCTTTTGGCTATATTTCAGAGGAAGGAATTGGCAAAACCATCTCTTAGTATTCCTCGACTAAGAAATTCCTATGAAATCCATGGGGTCATCAATGGGGTCATCACAAGTCATCACAACAGGAGACTTGAAGGCAGACACACACATACACACTAGGAATCCTGCAGTTTGGAAATCCATATTACAGGTGGAGCCCAGATTTTTCCAAATACCAGTCCCACAATGGATTCATATCCTGTTGCTCAGCATCTTCCTTGCTCTTCCCTATACCCAGACTTCAGACAAAAATACTTCTTCCATTTGAGAAGAGGAATGAATAAGTGGCAGTGGGAATAACTTATTTTAAATGGGAGAGGTATTTCTAATCTAAATGGTTTTTAAGGCATGACTATTCTGGCTGGGAGATTATGTCATCCAAAATTTTAATTTATGCAAACTCTATTCAGCAACATAGTTTTCTGTCTGTGAACATAGATGATATTTCTTCTGTCTCCTGGTATAGTTCAATATGAATTCATAGAAATCTGTAGCCAGTGGTCCAAAAGAAACCCTTTAGAATGGACAATAGAAAACATGAAATGTACCTTTCTTTGTTCAAACTGAGATTAAAACAGAACCCAACACAATTTGTATTACAAACTACAGGAAAGGAGATTCCATCTGAACATTAGGAAGAACTTCCTGACTGTGAGAGCTGTTCAGCAGTGGAACTCTCTGCCCCGGAGTGTGGTGGAGGCTCCTTCTTTGGAGGCTTTTAAACAGAGGCTGGATGGCCATCTGCCGGGGGTGCTTTGAATGCAATTTTCCTGCTTCTTGGCAGGGGGTTGGACTGGATGGCCCATGAGGTCTCTTCCAACTCTGTGATTCTATGATTCTAAATGCATTTTAAAAACATTGGTTCACTACAGGATCAATGCTAAAAATAGAACAATGGGGGGAAAGGTTATTTATTTTTCTGAAACCGCAGTTTATGTTCTATAGTTACAGATATCAAAATGAATGTTTGACAAAACATGGCAAAACTTTCCCCAAAACTGAGATATGCAGACAGTTCCAATCTCACGTTAAAAGAGAGAAAGTAAAGAGCGTTCGTGCTAGTAAAACTAGCTTCTGACATCTTTTCGTGATAGAAACAGACACAAATAGTCAAACAATGAGTTGGTTTGTTTTATTCTGATGTCATGGTTGGCAAGGAGAGGAGACAGCTGTGATGAGAAGGCGCCGAGGGTGGGATGCCCCTGGAAAAAGGGGGAACGCACAATGAACTAGTCATGTGCAGTGTGTCCTTTCCTGCCAATAGGTTTGTACCGAGACGGGACAAAAGTCATCAAGGAAGGCAGATGCAGAAGGATTAAAATCAAGCTAAGTAGGGGAAAAAGCAATACTAGCCAATGCTTTTGTAAGCAAGGCGTTTGGTGAATGAACACACGTTTTTGGAGAGTAAATATTTGGAGTGAATTCACAGCCATTTAGAAGGGTAAATATTTGGAATGAATGCACACACGTTTTAGCGGGTTCAACTTCCCTGTCTTCTTCACTTGGGAAGATTCACAGATCAACAGCAGCAAAAGACCTGAAATGTTGTTACTGAGTAACAGACTGATCTGAAATGTGTTTGCTTGGAAGTAGTAAACATGCACATGATCGCACTCCTAACTGATAACAAATTAGACTTGAAAAGAATGGAATGAGTCAAGTTCCTAATTTTCAAAGCAAAGTACAGCCCGTGAAGGATGGATTTTGGCAATTAAGTTTTGCTAACTTCACTATCCCAAGCAGTTGGTTTTACAGTAATATTAACATATTTCACAAATATTTCTTGCTTAAATGATACTATGCTAGATGAAATCGGACTATAGCCAGAATCTGATTTATAACATATACAGGAATAGCTGTAGATTGCACCTGTGTGTGTCACTTTTTTGGTTGTTGTGGACTGGCCATCCCATGACTCCACCCTCAATCGCAAACTACCTCCCTGACACTTACTCACACGTTTCCCATGATTATTTAGTGGCCAAGATAGGGTAGGTATATTTTGGTAGCATCCAGCTATCTTCAAACAGACTCACAGTGAAGGAGGCATTCTCCTGGACCTCCCAGAGGTTTTGTTAAAGGCAGCAACCTTCACATGTCTATACTCTAGTTTGCATGACTTTCTGAGAATTTAGGGATATTTATTATTTTTATTGACAACCTTTCTACCCCACCCTTCTCAACCCGCAATTCATGTCCTTTTGCTGGTCAGAGGGCTTGCCTCCATCAGCCAAAATGGACCAGTGAATGGACCAGTGACAGTCTTCACAACACACAGCACCTTCCAGATAATATCCCATTGGAGTGGGTGGGGGTGGCATTAAACCAACTTACAGTAGTGTCTCGCTTATCCAACATAAATGGGCCAGCAGAACGTTTGATAAGCGAAAATGTTGGATAATAAGGGGGGATTAAGAAAAAGCCTATTAAATGTCAAATTACGTTATGATTTTACAAATTAAGCACCAAAACATCATGTTTTACAACAAATCAGCAGAAAAAACATTTCAATACACTGTAACACTATGTAGTAATTACTGTATTTGCAATTTTAGCACCAAAACATTGCAATGTATTGAAACAGTTGTAGATCCAGACGAGACACAAACTGCGTTGGATAATACAGAATGCTGGATGAGCAAAGGTTGAATAAGCGAGACTCTACTGTAGTTTGCTTGAAACTCCACATAATCTTGGGGTTTGGGGCAGTCTGGACAAATGGATTGTGTCCAATTCAGCCCAATCTCTGTTCAGACAGACACCAGCACTGCCATTTATTTATTATTTATTTATTTATTGCATTTGTTAACCGCCGCTCTCAGCCCTAGGGCGACTCGCGGCGGTGTACAACATATAAAAACAGTATACAATGAAGCACAACAAAATCAGCATTTCACTAATACACACTAAACTAATTTACACTAAGCTAATCCGCATCGTCACACATAGAATCATAGCCAATCTCATAGTCCGTATTCCGTTCCACTTGTCATTACCAGTTTGTATAGCACTCAATTAAATGCCTTTTCAAATAGCCAGGTCTTTAGGCTCTTACGGAAAGCCATAAGGGAGGGCGCCTGTCTGATGTCAACAGGGAGGGTGTTCCACAGCCGGGGGGCCACCACTGAGAAGGCCCTATCTCTCGTCCCCGCCAGACGTGCCTGTGAGGCAGGCGGGATCGAGAGAAGGGCCTCCCCAGACGATCTCAAGGCCCTCGTGGGCTCATAGGCCGAGATGCGGTCAAGGTATTTTGGGCCGGAACCGTTTAGGGCTTTGTAGGATAACACCAGCACCTTAAATTGGGCCCGGTAGCAGATCGGCAGCCAGTGGAGCTGGGACAACAAGGGCGTTGTGTGCTCCCTGCGTCCCGCTCCCGTTAGTAACATGGCTGCCGCGCGCTGGACTAGCTGAAGCTTCCGGGCCGTCTTCAAGGGCAGCCCCACGTAGAGAGCGTTGCAGTAGTCAAGGCGGGATGGGACCAGAGCGTGTACCACCGTGGCCAAGTCAGACTTCCCGAGGTACGGGCGCAGCTGGCGCACGAGCCTAAGCTGTGCAAATGCTCCCCTGGTCACCGCTGAAACCTGGGGATCCAGGCTCAAAGATGAATCCAGGGTCACACCCAAGCTGCGAACCTGCGCCTTCAAGGGGAGTGCGACCCCATCCAGCACAGGCTGTAACCCTATATCCCGTTCGGCCTTGCGACTGACCAGGAGTACCTCTGTCTTGTCTGGATTTAATTTCAGTTTGTTCGCCCTCATCCAGACCATCACAGCGGCCAAGCACCGGTTCAGGACCTCGACAGCCTCCTTAGTATCAGGTGGGAAGGAGTGACAGAGTTGGACATCATCTGCGTACAGATGACACCGCACCCTGAAACTCCGGATGATCTCACCCAGCGGCTTCATGTAGATATTAAACAGCATGGGGGACAGTATAGAACCCTGTGGAACGCCACAGGTCAAAGGCTGTGGTGTTGAACAGGAGTCCCCCAATAACACCTTCTGTGTACGACCCTCCAGAAATGAGTGGAGCCACTGCAGAGCAGTGCCCCCAAGACCCATCTCCGCAAGGCGCCTCAGAAGGATACCGTGGTCGACGGTATCGAAGGCCGCTGAGAGATCCAGGAGCACCAACAGGGACACACTCCCCCTGTCTAGCTCCCGGCGTAGATCATCCACTAAGGCGACCAAGACCGTCTCGGTACCATGTCCCGGTCTGAAACCAGACTGTGCCGGATCCAGAATATCCGTGTCTCTCAAGAATACCTGGAGTTGTGAGGCCACCACGCTTTCCATGACTTTGCCCAAAAAGGGGAGATTGGAAACAGGCCGAAAGTTGTCAAATTTAGTGGGGTCCAATGATGGTTTCTTCAACAGCGGTTTTATAATTGCTTGTTTTAAGCACGCTGGAATCTTGCCTTCCCGAAGGGAGGCATTAACCACCACCGTTACCCACTCAGCCAATCCCCCTCTGGCCTCCTTCAGAAGCCAGGATGGGCAGGGGTCTAGGATGGACGTGGTGGGCCTCATTCCTCCAAGTATCTTGTCCACATCCTCGGGTTTCACAAACTGAAAAGAATCCATCAAAATAGGACAAGCAGGTGCTCGTGTCACATCCTGAGACTGCATTTAACATGGTGTCCAGCTCAGAACGGATCAAAGCGACTTTGTCTGCGAAGAACCAAGCAAATGCTTCACAGCGCGTGACCGAATTGTCAGGGCTCCCGCCTGAGGTGGCGGGAGTTAAAAGACCTCTGACAATCCGAAACAACTCCGCCGGACGGTTCTTTGCAGACGCAATAGTAGCCGCAAAGAAAGATTTCTTTGCGGCTTTTATTGCCGCGGCATATGCCCTTAAAAAGGACACAAACCGTGCTCGATTTGACTCGCTTGGGTCCGAACGCCACACGCTCTCTAGTTCCCTCTTCCTTCACTTCATCACTGCCAGCTCCTCAGTAAACCAAGGAGCTGGTTTAGCTCGGCTACTTGAGAGGGGACGTTCCGGAGCGATCATGTCAATTGCCCTGGCCATCTCCCCATTCCAGAGAGCGACCAAGGCCTCAACATGGTCACCTACCGAGGTGGCGGGAAAATCCCCAAGAGCCGTCAGGAATCCATTTGGATCCATAAGCCTCCTGGGGCGGACCATCTTAATGGGTCCTCCACCTTTGCGGAGGTTAGGGGGTGCAGTGAGCCTAAATCTGATCAGGAAGTGGTCAGTCCATGGCAACGGAGAGATAGACAACTCCTCCACACCGCCACCCTGCTCCCATCCCTGACAGAAAACCAAGTCCAATGTGTGTCCAGCACAGTGGGTGGGGCCAGATATTTGTTGGGACAGCCCCATGGTTGCCATGGCAGACATGAAGTCCTGAGCCGCTCCTGTGAGGGTCGCCTCGGCATGGATATTGAAGTCTCCCAGCACCAAAAGCCGTTGAGACTCCAACGCCAGGCTCGAGACCACCCCTGCTAGCTCAGGTAGGGAGACTGTAGTGCAGCGAGGTGGACGGTACACTAGCAGAATCCCTATTCTGTCCCGGTCACCCACCCTTAGGTGGACACATTCAAAATTTGTGGTCTGCGGGATGGGGCTCCTGGTCAGATGGATGGAATCTCTATAGACCACTGCAACCCCGCCTCCCCGTCCTCCGGATCTCGGTTGGTGCTGTACGGAGAACTGGAGGACAAAGCTGGGTCAGATTCACCCCCCCAGCTTCATCCAACCAGGTCTCCGTAATGCACGCCAGATCTGCCCGCTCATCCAGGATCAAGTCCTGGATGAAGGTCGTTTTTCCGTTGACAGATCTGGCGTTCAGCAGCACCACCTTCAATCCAGAGGGCCCGCTCACCTGGTTACACCAATTTACCTTAGGAGACCGATTTAGGGTTATTAATGTTGGTAAGCGGTCCGAATTAGGCCGAATTTGAGGTCTCCTTTTTCCGCATCTCCCCCTCCCCACCACGACCTCTATGGGGGCCCCTCGGCTAGTGGAACACCTCCCCTCCTCCATGCCGCAGTCCAAAACCAAGGTCTTAATTTCTGTTTCGCTAGATGTTTGGTTTGTTGGCCCTTGCCAACTCCCTTGCTTCCCTTCCTCCCCCCTCCCCGCCTCATTATTGTTCACAGGCTCCAGCCCACTTCCTCCCTTGCCCTTTCCACTGGTCACTAATAGCAAGGACAGCACAAATAGGGGGATGGGGGACCACATGGATAATAATCAACTCGATGATACTGAGCGTTTTAGCCACAACAGTTAGAAGTTCGTAAAGTGCAGAATCTTAAAGTGCAATACAGTCAACAATACAACTGCGTGCCGTTGGGCAAATTCCTAAAGTGCAAAGATCTTAAAGTGCAACAAATACCCAATCTGGCTCTCAATACTAACTAAAGTGCGGCATGGAGGGTAGGAAAGGGGCGTAAGTGCAAGTACAGTTTAGCAGCAATAGGCAGGTGCCTTAAGGTGCTATATAACGTTCTTAGTACCAATTAGCAGCAGGGTAGACAAGGAACGTGCTATGTTAGCAATATGTAAACATGGTATTAGAGGGATTGGCAGTAATATCAGTTTGGTAAAGATCTGATTCAAGATGATTAGCAGAGGGAAAAGGGATGCCTCATGTCTATGTCGTTCCTATCACTTCTCTTAGCCAGCCACTGGTGTCTGTGATGTCAGAGCTGAACACCCAACTAGACCAAAGAAAAGGAAGAGATACCTTCTTGCTGGTCACATGATCATCCCATTCTGACATCACAGATGAAGTGGCCAGGCACTTAGATGGAGCTCTGTGGCTGGCCAGAAGTGGTGGCAATACAGGTGGCAACCTCGTGGAGCTGATACAATCCGAGCCCTTTGGACATTGCCTTAGATTCAGCATGTATGTGTTGGATGCAGAGCTACTCCAAGCCAGATTTACACCAGGCTAACTTGCCTGGTGTATATGAGACCCTAGTTATACCCCTTTTCTTCTTACATCAGTTAGCCTACAGTTAGTGTAAGTTTGTCCTTCCTTCATATACAGACCCTCTCACCATGAGATGTTATGAAACCTTTAGTATTTGTAAACAATCTATCCTATATGTTTTCACAGAGAAAACTTAGCCTGCTTTATTTCTCTGCTATATTTATGAATGTAATTGGTGGTGTGGGACTGGTTGTTGCCCACCCTCTGCTTGCAAATACTAATGACTCTGCTTGTGAGATACACAACTATCACATTCCACACCAGGAATTCTGGAGGCCTGGATCATGTGTGTAATGGTCATGTATCCAGCTTCTCAAATGTTGCCAGACACTGCACAACCAATCACTGCTCTGTTTGAGCCAATACATATCCCAGGTAGCACAGAGGTAGATAGTGTGTCCAGGGAGAGGGAGCAAAGCTATGCCTGACCGAGCTTTATACTCCATTAGTTTGTTCTAAATTAGCAGTAATGAGAGCAGTATTAATGTGTTGAGGGTAAAACACCTGAGCCATGAAAATGTGACAAAAAAGATGCTAACAATTTATTATTATGTGGAAAACATACTCATGCAGTTATGAAGATTTTTCTATCTGTAGTAATTTATGTTTAAAGATTTTTTTAATAAGAGTACTGTATCTGATTTTTAAAGTCTTGGTTTTGCTTAATCAATTGTGTTGTTTATAACTGAGATTACTTTACCTTTTATGGATTTTGTACTTTGTATTCATTTGAGAACTAGACACAAATAAACTAGCATGCAATTACTACATCAATGTCCGCTAGCTAGGCATATCTTCAGTGCAATTGGCAAAGCTAAGCTGCTACGATCAAAGAAGGGACCCTTTGCAAAAGCTAAGCCCCTCATTAAGACTGTCCCTTTAATGCTAGTCAGCAATACCAGTAGCTATAGTTATAACACCTTATTTTCCCAACTGTCAGTCATTGGTTCTTGATATTCTTCCATTTCATACCAATGACAAAACTATTAGTTACAAAGCAAAGACTGCATTCCCAATATTTATTTGTGTTGCTTGCTAGTAAACTTTACAATTTTTGTTTTCTGGTTATGCAGGATCTACACTGCCCTATATCCCAGGATCTGATCCCAGATTATCTGTTTATCCCAGATTTACTGGCAGTGTAGACTTATATAATCCAGGCAGTGTAGAAGGGGCCTAAAGCCATATAACCCAGATTAACAAAGCAGATAATCCACATTATCTGCTTTGAACTGGATTATATGAGTCTACACTGCCATATAATTCAAATTCAAAGCAAATAATCTGGGTTTTATACGGAAATAGGAGGGGCCTGAATTGCATATATCTCAAGGACATCCCTAAAGGTAGGTGATGGAGCTACATCCTTGGGCTTCTAGGTGCCCTTGAAAACCTGGAAATGAAGTTGTTTCTCAAGGAGACATTTTCTGCAATGTCCTTAAAAGCGCGTATGCTAACACATCCCCAGGAGTTGTGCCAGAGAGATTACTTTACAGGATTTCCTTTCCCAACCTTACTCCAAAGGTACATTTGTAGTCCAAATGTATTTGGATGTCATTTCTCATCATCATCCCAACAGGGATATGGCCTGGGGATTATGGTGCTTGTAGTCCAAATGAATTTGGAAGGCACCTGGAGGGAAAACAGCAATGCCTGTGGTTTCACTTACCAGCACCCTGGGAAAAATGATCTTGTTAGGATTTTGCTAGGTTAGAACTGCTAGCTGAAGGAGTGATGACATTATTATGTGAAGGAGTGATGACATTATTATGTCCCATTGAAGTCACAATGCGCCTCTGGGCTTTTACTGGCACACCATTCTAGTCTGGACGCCCATTGGAAAATTCCAGACCCCTGACACTTACGCTTCACACCATTCTGGCAAAGTATACAGGGCATCATGACCTGGGACTGGAGACAGGCCGCCCTCCCCAGATGCATACACTGTTCCTACCCCACTGACCATGTATGGACATTACCCTTGAAGACAGGAAGGATGACATCACCTATAGCTGACCTCACCTGTAGATTACCTCACCCTTGAGAGTCCAACCAATCACCTGGCAATTATGTAATCCCCCACTGTTGCTATGCAGACTTTGCTGAAGAGCACCAGAACCCATGTAAGCTTTGCTTGGGCAACAATAAAAAAGCCATCATCATTCACTTCTACACCCTGCCTCCCGCCTGGTCATTATTGCGTCTTTTCCCAACAGCTAGCACCATTCTACAGTATGCTTCCCAAAAAAAGAGTTGTGCTGGAGGACCTGGTAAATTATCTGGGAATGTCTAGATCCTCCAGCATAATTCTATGGAATGCTAAGACTGGAAATCCTCACAGATAAAAGAATCTTATTGTAATTTGCATTCACAGTGTAGCAATGCTATTCTCCTTTACATCATAAACACATGTTGATCCATTTGCAATTTCTGCATAACTAGAATTTTTTACTCACCCAGTTATTTGGTGGTGTAACTTGCCCATCGACACTCATACAGTCGTGCCAGATGTAATAATCTGTGTACTTTTCAGTTCGGTTGCGACTAAGCTGAAACCACTTGTGTTTGTCACTAGTATGGTTTGGGATGAGATCCATTATCACTTTTAAACCTATATGTCAAGACACACAAAACAGTGAATCAAGATACACAGAACAACATACCATGAAGTGTTCCTCAAAGAGAACAAGGGTTTGGGTTGTTTATTTAAGACAGACGTACAAGAACAAATAATGTTTACCTATCAAATGGGGTTTATCGTAATTATTATTTTGCTAATCCTTATGAAACACTTGAAGCTATTTAGGGGAAAATGTTATGATATGAAGCATTATTACCAAGAATGGTTATGCCTGTTAAAGGCATTTGTGAAAATCCAGGCTCTGAAGACAAATGGAATTAAGTGGCACCTAAAACATCACAGTTTTCTAGTAACCAATGGCCATTTCAGTTATAGAGCTCACTGCTGCATCATGGTGTTTGTAGTTTGGTGAGGCATTGGAACTCTCTGGCTGAGACTTTTAAATACCACTTCCCTAAACCTATAAGACATTGCTAAGGCAGTTAAAGTGGAATAATCGCACTTCAACAGTATAATGTGGAAATGCCCCAAGCAATTCATGAAATAGTACGAATATATAGCTTAGGTACAAGTAACTGAATGCAGATGGAACATTTCCCAAATTCCTACTTACATTTTGGAACCTAGAACAGCTAGACTTAAAGGTTATGAAGATTTTTAGGAATGGTGTGAGATATGGGGAAAAGAAACTTTAACCTCCATCATGCAGTAAGATGAAAATACCTTCCAGTCATGGTAGGGTGCCTTTGGATCAAAGTCTATGTCACGAGATCAAGCTTTGCCTTATATTATGGAAGGAAAACTGGAAAATTGGCTCAACTGGAACTCAGGGCGTATCCAGACAGCCCCTTTATTGCAGTAACTCCCGCAATAAAGAAGGGGCTGTCCTGATGACGTCCTGGAAAATCCCAAATTATTTTGCCAGAAGCCCTGAGAACCCTGGTTTGTAGCAAATTAATCCGATAGTGGATTTATTACGTGCCTTCCTGAAAGGCGTAAGATAAACCCATTACTTCAGTCCAAACACCACTCCCACAGTTTTCTGGACTAAATTAGTTTGGAAAACTGTGGGAATACCCGCCCTCCTCCCCCACAGCCCTCAAACTCCTTTGAAAAGTAAGGAAAATTTACCTGACCTCCAGTAGACTGTAGAAAATAACTCCCCTCCCCCCACTCTCCTAGTGCATCATTTCTATGCACTGAGAGAGCTCCAGCTACTGGAGGCCGGGTAAGTTTTCCTTACTTTTCAAAGGGGTTTGGGGGCTGTGGGTAAGGGTTGGTAAGCCAGTCCCATGAGAGCATCTGGACACCCACCTCAAAAAGCGCACGCTTTCTGGGGTGTGTGGAGACAGGCCTCCAGGTGTTTTTTAAACGCGGATGTTTCTGGGATAAAAGGTCTTTCTGGAACTGCCCTCAGGCAACACCATTCCAACACACCTTAAAAGCTCTGAAAGCAGACACTGTTTCTTAAAAGCAAAGCCAACCTTTATCATGGATCGCTGCCACCAGGTTTTCAAAATCCTTCATTGTCCCATACAAYGGGTCTATGTCTTCAAAGTCCTCTATTCCATAGCCGAAGTCTTGGAATGCTGATTTGTAAAAGGATGTGATCCAAATTGTTTTTATGTTGAGATCCTGGACATACTGCAGTTTTTCTTGGATACCTGGGGGGGGGGRGGGGAGGKGGAGAGACACACATTTCCTTTTACCTGAGTACTAAATAAAATACATTGAAGACCAATAACCAGCTCTCTGGCTTTCACAGAAGGTTTCTCCCTATAAGAGCCAGCCCAGTCTTTGAGATCATCAAAAGCGGTCTCACGTGCACAACTGAAGGGGACAGGTTTGCCGGAAGATCACCACAAGTCGGAAAGACCTCATTCCAGCAGACTTTAAAAATGGAATAGCTTATCTTTTAGTGATATTTTATCTTTTAAAGTCTAATTTTGAATCATTTTTAACAATTGACTCTGTATATCAGGCATAGGCAAACTTCAGCCCTCCAAGTGTTTTGGACTTCATCTTCCACAATTCCTAACAACCGGTAAGCCAGTGGTTCTCAACCTGTGGGTCCCCAGATATTTTGGCCTTCAACTCCCAGAAATCTTAACAGCTGGTAAACTGGCTGGGATTTCTGGGAGTTGTAGGCCAAAACACCTGGGGACCCACAGGTTGAGAAACACTGCGGTAGGCTGTTAGGAATTGTGGGAGATGAAGTCCAAAACACCCAGAAGGCCCGGGTTTGCTCTTGCTTGCTTTATAGTCGAACATTCTTCAACCATTCATGGCTGCAGAATATTAATAAAAATCCCTCCCAAACCAAATTGTGATTTTGCTATTTTTGTAAGGCACACTATTTCACTAACACTGTTGTTTATAACGGGACTAGATCATTTACAAATTTTGGTAAACATAGGAGAGGGGGTGTCCTGGATACGAGTCCCAGAGGATATCAAGGATACACTGGATTATTTTGAAAGTTTAGTCCTATTTTAATGTTTAGTCCTATTTTAATGTTTGTATACTTGAGGGTTATAGGAGTCTTTGGGTATGAGGGAAGGAAATTGATGATACATGTGCATAAAATAAAGGCACTTTGACACCACTATAACCCAATGCTGTGGAATCCTACGATTCATAATTTGGCACCAGCATTTTGGTCAGAGAAGGCTAAAGACCTTGTACATCTACAATCCCCAAGATCCCATAATATTTCTTGTCTCATCTCAAAGTAAACTTCTATTCCAACATGTTGCTGACCAGAGTTGGAGGAAAGCCACCTGAAGTATTCCATATATTTGAATTTGTTGTTGTGTCATTTCTAACTTGTGGTGACCTTCAGGCAAACCTGTCACAGGGCTTTCTGTTCAACAATGCATTCATAAGTTTGTCACTGTCTTCTCCTAAAGTTGGGAGAGTGACTTGTCCAAGGTGACTTTCCATGGCTGAACAGGATTTGAAGCCTGGAATCCCAGATTCTGAACCCGACACTTAAACCATTGTATAACCCTGGTCGCAAAAGTAGGATTACTCCTGAGAAAATACATGCGGATCTTCTGTTTAGTCCCAGCAAGGGAAGACATTTGGAACCAATTATTGATTGGTGAATCAGCATGTAAGTAAATCAACTTGAAGGCACGCAGCTAATTCATTTACTCAACTCAAGACTTAATAAGGCAATGGTCTTATCTGAGAAAAAGTACCTAAATCTTGTTTCCTTCAGGATTAACTTAACTTTCTAACTTCTACATTCAAGGAACATGAACTTGGAATATTAATAATATGCAGGGGTGAAAGTACAGCTTTTTGTTTTCCATTAAGGAAATTGCTTGTGTGTTTATGACCATCTTTTCCCTTTGACCATCTTTATTGCTCTGCTACTTTCCAATTGGCTCTTTAGCCTTGTCTCAATCAATGTCAGTGCATATTTTCATAGCCTGATACCAAGGTTCAGGTTGAGCAAATTGTCTTAATGATGATACTGATTCTTTCCTGGAAGCATTGAGGTTTGGCTGACATTCTATAAAATGGTATGATGAAACTTTTTGGAGTGAGCTACAGTAGCCACATGCCCTTCATTAGAGAGCTGCCTTTTGTTTGGAGAGCTGTTGAGTCCAAATTCACTTTCAACGTAAGATGGGAGGGAATGTGAAGTTGCCCGTTCCTAGCAGACTAGATGTGGGCTGCCAGATGGCAGACTGAGCAGACACCACAGCCAGATGGTTACAGTCTTTTCTACAATGATGAAATACTTAGTCAGTGGTGCCAAACTTTGCACCTACACATTTCATTTACAACATGAGCCCCCGGTGGCGCAATGGGTTAAACCCTTGTGCCAGCAGGACTGAAGACCAACAGACCGCAGATTTGAATTTGGGGAGAGCATGGATGAGCTCCCTCTGTCAGCTCCAGCTCCCCATTCGGGAACATTAGAGAAGCCTCCCACAAGGGTGGTAAAACATCAGAAACATCTGGGCATCCCCTGGGCAATATCCTTGCAGACAGCCAATTCTCTCACACCAGAAGCGACTTGCAGTTTCTCAAGTTGCTCCTGACACGAAAAAAAATTTACAACATGCAATATTCTAGATGTTTTATGGAAATTATATTTGCACTTAGTGACCACTTCCTCTCTCTTTTTGAATGAAGATCACCTCCAGGTGAGCTGTGTGTATGCTTCACAATGTTGAGTGTATGCTTTCTTTCTAATGATTTTAAATGGTCATATCCAGCATTTAGAAAATATAGGCTGGTGCATAGTAGCTGTATGGAACATCGACCTAAAGGACTCCTGAAATGCTACCCTCAAAAGTGTTTTTGTAAATACACCTAGGCCCTTTCACACTGGAGGTTTCTGATGCTGTAGTTCATAAAGTAGGTTTCACCCCTTCACTATGATTAAATCATAATAATAATTTTGTTAACTAATTTTAATGTCATTAATTGAAATGCATTTAAATTAACAAATATATGTAAATTTTAAATGATAGCAATATGAATCTACTTTACTCGCTATGGTTTTATCCTATGGCATAATAGGATTTGTGAGGCACTAGATTCCTCTGGATAAGATTCCAAATATGCCCATCTTTAAAACTTCAAACCAGTTTAATCTGCTGATGGTGCAGCAAGTTAAACCACTGAGCTGCTGAACTTGCTGACTAAAAGATCAGCGGTTCAAATCCGGGGAGCAGGGTGAGCTCCCACAGCCCCAGCTTCTACCAGCCTAGCAGTTCAAAAATGTGCAAATATGAGTAGTTCAATAGAATCAGCTTCTGCAAGAAGGTAATGGCACTCTATTGAGTCATGCTGGCCACAGGACCTTGGAAGTGTCTATGGACAACTCTGGCTCTTTGGCTTAGAAATTGAGATTAACACCACCTCCCAGAGTTGGACACGACTAGACTTAATGTCAGGGGAAATCTTTGCTTCATGCCTGTTAAAGAAAAAGATAACATCATATTCCATTAATTTATCAAAACCATCCTCCTTAACTTCCACAAATTTGGCCAACCCAAAGATGGATGTGCAGTGTGGATGAATATTTCCTTTATCTGTCTGAAATAATCCAGCATTTAGCCTTAGAAGATCATGTTTTATGATAGCACCCAATTATTAAACAATAATGTACTCATATGGGAAAAGCGTGAAGATGGTTCTATTCTGTTTCAGCCAGTGGTTCCCCATATATTGGTGGACCTCAGCTTACACTGTGAATAGCTAATAGCCAGGAACTTTCTGACTGTGAGGGATGTTCAGCAGTAGAACTCTCTACCCCGGAGTGTGATGGAAGCTCTTTCTTTGGAGGCTTTTAAACAGAGGCTGGATGGCCATCTGTCGGGAGTGCTTTGAATGCCATTTTCCTACTTCTTGGCAGGGGGTTGGACTGGATGGCCCATGAGGTCTCTTCCAACTCTATGATTCTATGACTTCTCAAACATGATGTGCTTTTCCTACATGGCAGAGGGTTGAATTAGATGACCCATGTGGTCTCTTCCAACTCTATTATTTTATGATTCTATGTAGCCCAACAACATCTAGGGACACCAGGCTGGAAACTAGGGTTTAGATCCCAAACCTCAGGACATGTTAGCATTGTGCAACTTGCCAATCATAAGTAAGAGTTATCGGTTAATGAACATTTTCACATGCCTGCCTGTCTCACTCACAATTCCCCAGAAAGGCAATCCAGCTTCAGTTTGGTAGCTGAACCTGTGCTCAAAATGCAAAAGGTTCTGGGTTTAATCACCAGTATAGCCAGGAGCTCTGGTGTCTGGAGGATTCTGGTGCTGCACTTGATGAAGTAACTTTCACTCACCCACTATGATTAAAATGTAATAATAATTCTGTCAATTAATTTTAAAGTGATTAATTGTAATGCATTTACATTAATGTAAATATATGTAAGTTTGAAAATGGGTAAATAACAACACTGGAGGGATTTCCAGGATGTGGTATTTTTCAACCTATAGTTCAATCATTTTTGTTACATTACTGATTGCCAATTTGATAGGAAATGTAAAACTAGAATTTCCAGATGACCATTAAAGATCTCCTTTCCTACAAGGTCCTACACATTGAATGAACTTCATTTATCTCACAGATATCTGTGCCGTATTTCAGCAACACATTTCCCAAATATATTTTATTTAAAAACATTTTCTATTGGGTAATTCTACCTATGCAACTTCATAGAATCATAGAATTAGAAGAGACAACAAGGACCACCCAGTCCAACCTCTTGTCATGTGGCAACACCCAATCAAAGCTTTGCCCTGCATGAACTTTCTCTACAACAGGAACATCACACAAACTTACCTTTGAGATCGCCATTTCCATCCTTGTCGGTGTCTTTAAATGACCGAGGATAGATTTGGTAGATGGGGCCAGCTTGCCACCAGCCAAGGCATTTAGGGGACATGACAATTATTGCAATCGTAGCTGCCACAAGCACCAGGGAAGCAGCAATGATCAACCAAAAAAGTATTTCTCTGGTAACTCGGTAGCGTGCCTGAGTTGAAAACTGAAGAAGGACCTCTTTGGGCATCCCAGCATAAGGCCGTAGAGTTAATTCTTGCATAGTTTCTAAACTCACACCAACGGCACATTGTTTTGGCAAGGCTTCAAAGCTGTTGGCACCTGCCTCCATTTCCTCCATTTCCACCTCCTCACTCTGGATGAATCCATTGTTGTCCACACCTTCCTTCTCGTTCATCTCAAGGGAGATCCGCTTACTTTCTTGGTCAACCATTTCCACTCCGTCCTGCCTGATCCCTCTCAGGAGACTTGCTGAGGCTGGGAGGAGGTGGGAAGAAAACCTTCACTCGGTGAAATACCTTCGGTTAGTGTCATTACTCTCTGGTTTAAAAATAAACCTGACGGACCAGTCCAAAGTCTGGGTAAGGCTAAGAGCATCAAGTGCTCCAACCCCTTTGAACAAAAGCGTTTTTCCTCACAAAGTGCCAGACTTTTGCAAGAGAACAAAGGTCCTACTCATTCCAAGATCACTTCAAAAAAAAAAAAAGGGGGGCACGGCAGGTACAGCAATTGAACAGGACTGCTTCCTCCCCAGTCCTTTTTGGCAGGACATGAATGGCTTTTAACACTTTCAAGTGAGGCAGCCAGTGTTAGATCTACGCATTAACTCAGTCAGTTGTATCTTATCTACAGGGCTAATTCCAGACAGTGTCACTAGGACATTGTGTATTCATTCTTACTCTGGCAGATGATGTCCAACTCTGTCACTCCTTCCCACCTGCTACTAAGGAGGCTGTTCAAGTCCTGAACGAGTGCTTGGCGGCTGTAACGGACTGGATGAGAGCAAACAAATTGAAACTAAATCCAGAAAGACAGAGGTCCTCCTGGTCAGTCGCAAGGCCAAACAGGGCATAGGGTTATAGCCTGTGCTTGACGGAGTTACACTCCCCCAGAAGGCGCAGGTTCGCAGCTTGGGAGTGATCCTAGATTAAGTGCTGAGCCTGGAACCCCAGGTTTCAGAGGTGGCCAGGGGAGCTTTTGCACAGTTAAAGCTTATGCACCAGCTGTGCCCGTACCTTGGCCACAGTGGTCCACACTCTGGTTACACCCCAAATAGACTACTGCAACACACTCTACGTGGAGTTGCCTCTTAAGGCTGCCTGGAAGCCGCAATTAGTCCATCACTCGGCAGCCAGGTTGCTCACAGGAGCGGGGTACAGGGAGTGCACAATTCCCATTACATCAGCTCCACCGGCTGCCGATTAGCTTCCAGGCACAATTCAAAGTGCTGGTTTTAACCTACAAAACCCTTTACAGTTCCGGCCCAGTTTAGCTGTCTGAACGTATTCTCCCCTATAAACCATCAAGGGCGTTAAGATCTTCCGGAGAGGCCCTGCTCTCGGTCCCTCCACTTTCGCAGTCGCGCCTGGTGGGAATGAGGGACAAATTCACCAGCATTAAGCCCCATTAATAGGTTTTAGTGCATTCTAAAATCATCCACTGAAACCAATGTCCTTTATTTTATTTTTTTCAAATAAAAAAAATGTGATGGTCCCCTGGCTATGGAACTTTCTCCCGAATAAGGTTAGGTCTTCCCCCTCCCTCCTGACCCACAGGAAGCAATTGAAATCCTGGCTTTGGAATCAGGCATTCGCAGAGTGACGGCTGAGTTCTGTAAAGACTAAGAATTATTGGACCACAATGCGCGGACTGAGTTGGACAATGTTTTTAACTTGGCGAATGGTTTTATATGTATTTTAGCTTATATGTATTTTAACCTATTGTATTATGTATGTTGTTTTAAAATGTTATTTATTGTCTTGCCTTGAATTTTTGCTGTTAGCTATTCTGAGTCCCTCCATGGGACTCAGAGAAGATAGAGAAGAACGGGATATAAAAGTTCCAAATAATAATAATAAATAATAAATATCAAGCTGCGTAGTGCCACAGATACTATCTTATCTCATGTGCAGTCTATTATCTATATAAAATCACTGGGAGTCCTCAGTTTAGGTGTCCTCAGTAAGCTGATGACCCTCCACTCTATTTCTCCTTGTCATCAGAGTCAGCTGGAGTTTCACAAAGGCCGAATCCATGCCAAGTGAGGCTGGCGGGGACGAGGAGCAGGGCCTTCTCAGTGGTGGCCCCTCACCTGTGGAACTCACTCCCCGGGGAGATCAGATCGACGACTTCCCTTCTAGCGTTTAGGAAAAAGCTAAAGACCTGGATGTGGGACCAAGCTTTTGGCCATGCTGACAACTAACTAAAGGACCTGTCGATAGACAAGGACAATGGAATGGAATGGATATATGGACTCTGATATATGGACTCTGACATGAGATAGTTTTTATGATTTTATTAGGTATTGATGTTTTATTTTAATTGTTGAATTGTTATATTTTGTATTGTTTGTTGTGTGATTTGGGCATCTAATTGTGCCTTTCCTGTAAGCCGCCCTGAGTCCCCCCCGGGGTGAGAAGGGCGGGGTATAAGTAGATGAAATAAATAAATAAATAAATAGATGCTGTAATGTGATGAATGAGGGCCAATAAACCAAATCTGAATCCCAATAAGATGGGAGTTACACTTAAAAAGTGCCTGTTCTGCTTACATACAAATTCAACTTATGAACAAACCTACAGAACCTATCTTGTTCGAAACTTGGGGACTGCCTGCATTTCCCTTACATTCTATGATCTTCCTGGGTAAAATTAGGCCCGAAAGAGGCACTTTGAAACCAAAACATGGAGAAAATGCCACAATAGCCACCTGGGAGCAAGTTATGTGTATGTATTGCAGCAGCAGCCCTAGAGGGATAAGCAGTCCCCAGCCTTCCAAATTTACTTTAAGGGAAAGATTGTAGTTCTGTGACCAGTTGCATTTTTTATACTAGGGGCTGCATGCAACCTCTGGCATCTCCACCTCAAATGGATGAAATAGTAGATACCGTACCAGTTTGATACCAGGCAGGAAGACAGTGCTGAGTTAGATAGGGAAATTGTCTGAGCTCAGATATACAAGATCCACATATTTTATTTTATAATTCATCTCCCCATGTGCCCATTTGCTGCTCCCCTCCTTGCATGTAGGAAACCAGGAAGAGGGAAAGGTTTCTCCATTTCCTTTGCATGTGCTAGATAATTGCATGTAGGAAATATGGGGTGGGGGAGGCCTTTAGTAACACTCCTTTGCAGAACTATGCAGAATTTGAGTATCTCGCTTAGCATCATGTTGTAATGGAATCTTACAAGTTCTATTGTGTTTAATTCTCAGACCATGCAAATGTTGTTGGTGTCCTTGAACGTTCTGATTTATTACATCTTTTATGGGTAGAATTAAAGATCGCATCACCTGCCAGTAAAATGGCTGTTCGTATCACCTGATAGCAATGTTTACATATTTGAAAAAATGACATATTGAAGACAAAATGAGCTTGTTTTTTTGTTTTTGTTTTTTGCTGCTCCAGAGACTAGGGACATGGAACAATGGATTCACTATAGGAAAAAATATTTGTATAATCTCAACTCAAGGTGCAGTTTACTACCTATCAAGCCCTAAACAGTTCGGGACCTGCCTATCTTTGTGATCGCATCTTCCCCTATGAACCTGTGCAATCTCTAAGATCTTTTGGGGAGGCTCTTATCTCGCTCCCACCTCCGGCACAAGTGCAGCTGGTGGGGACGAGGGAGAGGCCTTCTCGGTGGTGGCTCTGCGGCTCTGTAACTCTCTCCCCAGGGAGATTAGGCTGGCACCCACCTTGTCCATCTTTCGCAAAAATCTAAAAACCTGGATGTTCCACTGTGCTTTTGATTAAACGGTTTCCCAGAAAATTTTGGCCTCCAGCAATTCAATCCCTGCATTTGATTACTGTCCCCTGCCCAGAAATATAGTTTTCCACCTCATATTGCACTTTATCCCCAATCATGTCAACTGGTACTTGCACTTTATTGATCATCCATTTCCCCACAACTGTTCGTGTCACACGCCCCTCCCCTGCCCAAGCCTAGAACTGTTTTGCTATTTCAGACTACTGGTTGTTTGTGATGGTTGTTTTTATATGGTGTCATGCTCTTTAGTTTTTGTTTTGTTTTGCTTTGTGTTGCTGTTTTTTTGAATTTTACTGTGTTATTTTAACTATGTTGATTGGGCTTGTCCCCATGTAAGCCACCCCAAGTCCCTTCGGGGAGATGGAGGAGGGGTACAAAAATAAAGTTGTTGCATGTTGTTACATGTTCGGCAGTGGAATATGCTGCCTTGGAATGTGTTAGTCTCCTTCTCTTGAGGTTTTTAAGCAAAGGCTTGATAGTCATCTGTTGGGGGTTTTGTGTATTCTTGTATGACAGAATAGGACAGAATGGGATTGGACTGGATGGTGCTTGTGGTCTCTTCCAAGTCAACAGTTCTATCTTACCACTTCCCTTTGCCTGAAAATTCCTCACCCTTGATTCACTGGGAAATGAAAACCAGAAAACGAAGGGATATAAGGCCTGTTCAATATATGCAACTGAGCATTTGTTGTTATTGTTTTAATTACTGTCACAAGATTTCTATGCAAAAGAACTCCACTTGAACCTTTGGTGTGGGTGGTTAAAAGGACTGGCAAGTTAATGGTGGAAAATGTTTCAGCCCATGACCTAGATAGGAAATAGTGTTTGTGTGGTCATCCAGATATTGCTGCATTGCAGCTTCTGTCATGCCTTGCCTTTGACTATGTAGTCCATAGGGCTGTTGTGAGTTACAGCTCAATGATAGCTGGGCCACATGATTCGCTCTCCTAATCTAGAGTAAGGCCGTGTCCTACATCCAATCGAATTCAGAGGCATTTACTACTGAACCAAGATCATTACATCTTTCTGCTATACAGATTAATTACTGCCATTCAAAAATTGCCACATCTGTGAAAAGATGGGGTGTCACCCAATCCAAGTCAAACTTTAACTTGATTGCAACCCCCAAAGGTAATCTTTGGTCAGGTTTCTTTTTTCTGAATGGCATATTAAAAATCTTTCTAGTTGTTCCAGGCTAAGGTGTAACTTTTTCATGTCTCTCCCCAACTCCTGCAACATTCCAGGGTTTTTCTGTGCTGACTTCCCTCATGTAATTCCCATCTCCACTCTAGCTTTCTGCTGGAGGCTTCCTACCTTGGCTCGTTAATATAGTACTATAGGGAAGTCATAGGGAGGAGGCTTGTTTTCTGCTGCCCTGGAGACTAGGACATGGAAAATGGTTTCAAACTACAGGACAGGAGATTCTATCTGAACATTAGGAAGAAATTCCTAACTGTGAAAGCTGTTCAGCAGTGTAACTCTCTGCCCCGGAGGTGTGGTGGAGGCTCCTTCTTTGGAGACCTTTAAACAGAGGCTGGATGACCATCTATCCGGGGTGTTATGAATGCTATTTTCTGGCTTCTTGGCAAGGGGTTTGACTGGATGGCCCATTAGTTCTCTTCCAATGCTATGATTCTATACAGTGGCTGCTAACCTTCTGAGGCTGACGTTTCATTATCAAGGGCCCAGCATTTATTAAGACTGGCTGGTAAGAGAGCAATTCTGTAAATGACTACAGGAAATTTCAGACATGGGAGGTATCCTAGCGCCCCTCTCTCCCTCTTAACTCAGAGGTGGGCATTTTAAAATTTACAGCCAGTGGTGAGGTATGCTGGGAATTACTGGACAATTTCATCTGGAAGGCCACATTTGCCCACCCTACAATTTATTGCAAGCACATATACAGACATATACTCGCAGTCAAACTATTTGGCAGGTTTTTGTTTTCCTCATATTGGCAATCTCTTCATATGTCCTCTTTGTGTTTATTTTCCTTCTGCTTTGGCAATCCTCTTTCTAGTCTTCAGTTCAGGACCATTCCCTTTGCCCACTCTCCATTGTTAGGATGCCTGGTTTACCTTGGCTTACCTTTCCACAGCCAGCAAGTTGTTGCAGGTAGTATTACCAAAGGTGGGCTGTGTGTCCCCTGCCCAGCTTTGTGTCCCATGCCCATGATCATACCTGTGAATGCATGCATAGCTTCAGGTGATCTGTTGATGTATGGTGACCACATGAGTTTCATAGATTTCTTTGGGTAACAAATAATCAGAAGTGGTTTGCCATTGCCTTACTCTCAAAGGTACCCTACAGTATCTAGGATTCCTTAGCTGTCCCTCAGAATAGAGGGGTTTTGTTATAGGAAAAATATAGGGACAGGGACTACCATGTATAACCCATTGAACTGAAAGACAAGACATAACATATAACCTGGAGAATGGTCACCATTATGCATTTAACATGGCAGTATCCAGTGCAACAGGATGGTATTATCAACTTTGGAGGATCTCAAGCTTCACAGAAGTACAAACCTGGCAGTGCTAGAGGGGAAGAAAAGACCGGTGGACACACAGAAAGATAGAAACACTCCATGTCTGAATAGACCAACTTGTAGTACATAATGAGAAGCTGTTTTTGCAGTATTCCCAGGGACAAATGTTCAATGCTTAGAAGACCTATTCAGTTGACTTGTGGAGTCCCATGTTTACATGTTAAACAAACTGTAAATCACGACATGGGCTGTCTTTGAGGCTAATATTTGATTTTTCAGCTAGGCCCCAGCCTCAGGGAACAAATTGACAGCAGGAATACATGGTGCTATTCTGTGGCCAGCTCCCTCTTGTTTTCCTCACAGGTTCCAACCCTGCATGCTAATGTAATGAAAGAAGCACCATCCATGGACAAGAGAAAGACAATATCTCAAAGATTTGGTATAGTTCAAGACATCTTTAGAAAAGAGGTCCAAAAGCACTGGCTATAATCAGCACGTGCAAAATAGTGATTGGCATTTTGTTTCAGCTCCACCTTGCAAATGTAGTTTCCAGGCTCCCGCATTCTCCTTTTCTCTGCTTCTTCTCTCCTCCTTTGCCCAAGCCAGGGAATGACAAATACATAGGGTCCAGGGGTCATTCTTCCGGCTTCAAGATTGGCCAAGAGAAGTACGTTCAAAAATGAACCCAGAGGTTACCTGGTCTCTTATTTGAGAAACAACATATCGTTCATTAAAATGAAGTGTGCAGTGACACACTATAGCCTGAATCCTGGATAATCCTCCCCAGAGTAGACCCATTGAGTTACTAGAAATTATATCAGTGCTGACTCACCATTTCAATATTGATTCAGGGTGTCTACAATGGTTAAGACTAACCAACAGGACTCAAGAATCTCTCCAGATCAGTGGTTCTCAACCTGTGGGGCCCCACATTTTGGCCTTCAGCTCCCAGAAATTCCAACAGCTGGTAAACTGGCTGGGACTTCTGGGAGTTGTAGGCCAAAACACATGGGGGCCCTCAGGTTGAGAACCACTGTTCTAGATGATATAATTGTCCAGTCTGACTATCAGTCCATCTAGCTATCACTAGTGTTCTTGGGATAAATGATCTCCATTTGGGGCTGTAAAAACAGCTGCAGAAGTGGGGTACATAGTTTGCTTCCCTTGCCTAGAACTTCTGCCTGTATTGCTCAGGCAAACAATGGCCATCAGCAGTGATTTCTCCCTAGTCTGTCCTACATCTCAGTGATGTAATGGCAGCTCAGCTAATCACTTCTATCTGTTCCACACCTCAACTTAGGCTGGAACTCACTAGGGAAATTACAAATATGTAACCACCTCAGTTCATAGGTCAAAGACCTAGTGTGACTCCCCACTTGATCCATCCAATAGCAGCCACTGCAATAGAGAGGAATCTGTTGCCATCAATCAGGAACAGATTACTCACTTCCCACTCCTTACCACGAACAATCAGTTACACAGAGGACTGAGAATATCAACCAGCCACTTCCCAATCAATAGGGAATAGTTTGGGGGAATTTCAAGTCCCCATATAGTCCCTAATCTTGTGAATATGTAGGAATCATAAATATGATTCACTCACTAATCCATAATTATTGGGTACATGCTCCTAAGTCTTTGTAAATTCGGGCTATTTGTAACTGACATAACTACGGGCAAATGTAGTGGCACAGAATTGATCTCCTTAATGTACTCAGAATAACTAGACTCAACTTTTTTATACCGTATAGTCCTCATATCTATGGGGGTATGTTGCAAGGCCACCACCATCCCATGGGTATTTGGAACAGTTAATAATGGCAAATTCTATATTTTGACTAAACTTGGGCCAGATGTATATCACGGAATCATGCTGGAGAACTTAAAAAGAGGCCGGCAATTACTTTTGGAGGGCATTTGGAGTGTGGGTATACAAAACCTTTGAAAATGTGGATAAATACTGTGGTGTATTATCAATCTCCGTCCCAGTGTGATTTTAAAGGATCAGGAAGTCTCTTCCTCTTTCCTTAAAAGACTCCAAGGATCCCAGCCAATGAGTGACAGCATAGCCCACTTGCTTGAATAAATGGGAACTGTTTCCAGATGCAGGTCGCTCTTTATAATCTTGTTATCAGTAGATCTCTCCCAGTAGACAGGAAGCTTCAGGGCATGCCTCTCATTGAAGATGACAACTAGGGACAAGCACTTTTCCAAAGGTGATAACCTGAAGTTGGAATGTCTACTTTGATGGCACTTTCGGTCCCATATTAAAGGATGCATTTTCTTTATTTTTAACAGTTTAATCATTATACCAATTCAGAACATGGCCATGCTGTCATGTTGAGCAAAGATCACTATTAACAGCTTTACAACTCCCACAATGGATATGACTGAGGTCCACTTATTCCAGCAGTTGTCCTCCAGGAGCAGGAACTTCATAAGAAGGGGATGGGTGATGTTGGTCATATACTTGTGCCTCGCAGCATTTGGGAATCAGAGGCCAAAGCGGAACCTGCAACAGAATGTTGCAGTGTGATGGGCTCCTCCTGCTCAGGGTACTAGCCACCCCATCCCAGCCCTTCCAGAATACTCAATTGCTTGCCCCCTTCCCCTTCCAGTCCAGAATTTTCCATTTCTGCCCAGTCTAAAATTCCAGCCAAAATCCCACTGCCATTCAACATGGCAAATCCTGGCTGGAATGTCTCAACCAATACACACCCATCCTCAAGATTTTGTGTATCTCTGTAAACCTTGGGGTCCTTTTGTGCCACTGCTTCTTTTTTGTGTGTGAATAATATACAAGTCCCTCAAGGTGTGTTTATCTGCTATTCTATGGCACAGATGGGGAACTTTGTCTAATCTCCACCAGTACCTCAGGTAGCGCGGGCCTTCATCATACTGTTTTGTTACCCAGTGTGAAGTTGAAGCATCCTGTGGTACTTTGATGCCAAAGCTGTACCCCTCCCTCAGCATTCTTAGTCAACACTTTCAGGAACCTGCTGAGATCTGGGAGGACAAGGCTGCAAATGGTTAAGTTCCCAGTAGGGGAGAGGCTGACTCCAGTCTCCTTTAACTGACCAGAAATAGTGTGGACTCATCTTTCCACTAGCCAGCAATGGCTGGATTCTAGTCCACCTGATATAAAGGAACTGATGTCTTTTAAAGTAGACAACATTTTGCATTCAGTGTCACTAATAATGGTTGTTAATTTGTAGACAAAATCCGTATGTGCTCTTCCTTTACTGTCAATTTTGTTTTACAAAGCAATGCTTTGTAGCCAGTAACGAATATAATCCATCTCCACATTGTGGCTATGAAAGCTTTTATATGTCTCTCCAACGAGCGTGAATTAAACTTTGAGGATATATTTCTCACTCACTCTGTAATTTAGCTTTAAATTCTGATGTTTGTTCACATTTCTCTCTCCAGATACTCACTCCTCTTTTAGACTATTCAATAAGCAACTGAGAAAGGGACCATATAAATCATAAAGTTCTAACCCTTGCTTTCTGTACCGTTGATGTATCTCTACTCTTCCATGATTTGATTTGACAAAATGGAACAACATGATTCAAATATGAACGCACCAAATTAAAATAGTATATTATTCCTTTCAATCACCTCCTCCTCGGGGGTTTGGAGGGAGAGTACTCCTCAGTGGCTGCTCCAGACTGGAACTCCTTTGGATGGCTCTCCTTCTCCCAGCAAGTGAAGACATTAACTTTCACCATGTTTTTTGGAATTGACTGCAATAGGCTTTTAATGGTGTGATGTTGTGTTTTAATGAATTTGAAGTGGTTTTTACTTTGCAGATGTTTGGCATTTAAGTAACTTTTTCAACTGATGCTTTTGTGTGGCTTTCAATCTGTATTGATTTCAATATGTAAACTGCCTTGAGTCCCATTTCTTCAATTGCAAGATGCACATTAATTTCAGTACCAACATATATGTATGTGTGTGTATATATATATATATATATATATATATATATATATATAGAGAGAGAGAGAGAGAGAGAGAGAGAGAGAGAGAGAGAGAGAGCGCCACAATTTTAAGAATTGTTTGTATGGAGGAGTGCATCTTAGAACTGAAGAAATGCCACAATTGTTATTCCCTAACCAGAATTTAACACTATTCAATGTCATAGCTAATATATTTCAATTACTGCATTTGCTGGGACCATAGGTGTGGTAGAAGCTCCTTCTTTGGAGGCTTTTAAACAGAGGCTAGATGGCCATCTGTCAAGGGTGCTTTGAATGCTATTGTCCTGCTTCTTGGCAGGTGGTTGGACTAGATGGCCCACAAGGTCTCTTCCAACTCTATGATCCTATAAGGTTATCTACCTCAATGTGCACCCATCTTATCTTGACACTGATAAAATTTGGGTGAATTCAGATGAACACCCAAGATATGATGGAGGTGCAAGGCAATTAAGTATTCAAGGCCTGGCATGTACAGACATGTGTGCTCTTCAGTCCCTTCACATACAATGATCATCTGTTATTCTGTCATCCTGGCATAGAAAGATTTTAAAGTCTGCTTAAGTTTTGATATCCCAGAAGCCTGCTTGGTACTGCTTTTTGTATATCCCCATCTTGTTCAGCCCTTTCCCCAAATCATTTGTGAAAGTTAAATAGCACCTGTCTACAAAGAGATCCGTTGGGGTCCCTTCCCCTTCCTTGTTCTAGGGAAGGGGGGTCATTCTTCACCCACGTTCAGAAGGGAAATAACTAATTATGGGAAAGGTCCTACTGTGAAAAGATAATTGGTTGAACAGGAAGTAAAGGTTAAGGGCTTTGTTCAGAGCTTTATGGAAATCTCAGCATATGGTGTCAGACAGATCACACTCAAGTTGCTTGCCAACAACTTCAAAGAATGCTCTCGGATTAACAAAGCAAAACTTTTTTGTGTGAACCTCATGCCAATTTCCCCAGTAAAGGCTATACATAACAACTAAGTGAGACAGAGATTATGCTAAAGGTCTGGAATTCCTTACACTATAGCAAGACTTTTTCAAAAAACAAGACCCCAGTAAGAGATTGCCTCCCCTCTAACCTTCATGTAAGGCTAAATTTAGAAATCTTACAGTTTTGCATAGAAGTTTTTTGGCGAGGGATATCCAGTGTAGCAGCCGACATACACTCTTAACATTTTGGACTAATTTTCCACCTCTATTTGACAGGTTTGCAATAGTAGGGTTGGAGAGCAACGTGGCAAGCACAGGATGCGTCCTTAACTGCAGTAAAGGATGGATGCAAAAAATTCATGTAATGTATCTGCCATTTCTATATCAGCATTCATTTATACCTTTATCAAACAGTAGTCTAAATTCTTGTATTCCTGCTAAGAATTGGATGACGTGATCTGGTTCCATGACTTTTGATTTTAATTTATTTTACACACTTGTTTTGTACATGTTGGAGTTGGAAGACTATCCTACTTGGACAATGAGGATCACCTAAGTAAGTAAGTAAGTAAGTTGGAGTTGTTAAGTTCTCAGCAATTGGGATACTTCTTTTCGAAACCAACTTTCATTCCTTCAGGCTACTTTTGCACAACTTCTATGTATGGAATCTAAACATTACCTGTTATTTGCACGGTTGTACCAAAGTACCAGAGCATTTTTATAGCCTACACTGAATTAACAATTTTCCTTGCTGCTTGAGCAAATTCTATTGTTTTTCTCCTATTTATCTTAATAAATCTCTCAACGGACTGATCAGGGAGCTAAACCTATGCAAGGCTGTTGTTAAACTCAGACAATGTGAGCACCCTTTTGAACTACATGGTGCAACAAGCTAATCCTGCTTTTAAAGCTTTCAGTTGCTTTCTTCCAAGGAAAAAAATTTGAAAGACAATGAATGAAGTGCAATGAAAATGCAACATTTTTACTTGTTTATAAACCAACTTCAAACTCACTCACCCCAAACTTCTAAGCTCTGGAGCAACATATAATATGCTTTGTACATGATGGAGTCTCTGTTCAATTTAGTGTCAATATTAAGTTATAAAGGACATTTTGTCAAGTGACTGAGAGGTCTGGAAAGCAGGCAAATGTTCTGAGCATCAAGGTTATGGTAGAATTGTCATCCATATGAGAAGCAGGGAATAGAGGAACAGGATTAAGCATATTGTGCCATATCAATTCTTCAGGAACACCAGTAAGCCTATTTGGGATTTTTAAAACCTTCACATGCTATTGGATGCAGTGTCATATATTCAATGGTGCAAACAATGTAAGAAACCCAAAGAAAGGTAAAGACCTTGTTCCCTAGTTCAACAATACGCACTTTGTGCAAATTTCAGACACTGAAATAACACAGTACTCAGCAGACACTGTTGTGTTAGACAGGCAATTATTCCCGTCTGCTTTTAGAAACCATTTGTCAAAATACAACAATTTGAAAAACAACACCATGAATAAAAACCAAATAGGATCAATTATGATACAAGTAATGTTTTATACTTATGAACAGACTGACATGCAGCAGCTTCACAAATTTACAGACACCCCAAGCATCACAGAGAATGTTACAGCTTCATTAAATGGCGTAGGGTACAGGGTTTGATAAATAAATAGATCTTAAGTGAACTAAATAGACTAGATGTTCTGGTAGTGCTTACAGATCATAAAGAGCACAAGAGAGGAAAACAGTAGTAAAACCCAGGAAGAAGCTCAACAGTGCTATCATTTCGAGGACGCAACATTAATGGCAACAGATGAGTTTTCTACAATGCCAAAACGAAACATATTCAGACAATGCAAGACACTTTTATTGAAAAAGTGAGCTATTACTTCTCATCCCTTTGGGTTCAATACTATTCCTTATAGTGAAGGATTAGCCCAGATCAAATATAAGAGCTGGTCTTATTTTAATCTTCCTTGTTATGTAAGTGCGTAATACCTTTTATTCTTCAACTTCAAAAAGAAACGTACAATGTGATACAGAAACAAAGAATGTTAAAGAAGTTGTCAAATCAAAAGATTGACCGCAACTCTACTGATCAACTTGGCTTTTCCTGTATCAGTCACCTCTGTCGTCTAAAGTAAATCACGCCAGCTAAACAGAGATCAGTCAAAGACTGAGCAGCTGGAATAAGGAATTAATGAACATTTCATGGCGGAGCCTGTACTCCAATCAGCAGTGTGATGGCTGCCTGAAATCCATGCCCATTGACAGGCTGTTGCATATGGCAACCCAAATCATAGGCAGCAGCTCACCACAGAAGTCTCAACATTCTCACAAAGCTGCTAAAATGAGTAAGAATGTTTTGCACGGGTGTGTATGGGGGTTGGGGAACCCAACACTTCCACACAATGAGCTGTGCACCCAAAGTGCTCACCCCACAAATCTATCTGTATATCAAGCTGCCATCACACAGCTACTGGTTTGTCACTGTTACACTGTCAATTATTTTAAAGTCATTCCCTGAAAGGCCATTTGCAAGTGTTCGTCCTTACTTCTGAATAACAAACTCACTGAAACAAAGAATTAGGTTGTTTGTTATTCTGGATTCATTTTGCCCTATGTCTGTGCCTCAAGTTGCTGGCAGTTTCAAACCAAGTACAGCAAACCATGGTGGTAAGCAGGCATTAAAAAGAGAGGGGGCTGAATTAGAAGCCAAGATAGAGCTTAAGTCATGTTTCAACAGAACCGATGGTCTGCCAATTAGGCAAATACGTGTCGGCACCGTAGACTGGAAAATGACTTGAGATTGAGGCTATTCCAACAATAAGGAAGTCTAACTGGACTCTTCTATATGTAGAGCAATATCCAAGACATCTCAAGACTTTTCTCTAAGAACTGCTCTATATCATTCTATGGGAATGCAACAAGACCTTATACAGAACGGCTGGGCCATTAAGTCTAACTTAAATGGTGCCACAATATAGTTTTAAGGAAACTATTCTGAGCCACTATAAATGTATTAGGATCATTGTGATATTTAGCTGGATACATTCTAAATTGATCAAAAATTGCTACCTCTTCTTAACAAGCCAGTGACAAAGTTCCTGTAGTAAAAAAATTAGATTGCAAAACTTGTCTCTGATTATTTTCACTGTTTTGGTCCACAAGATTTTGGCAACTGAATTGAATCCAATTTCTGGCGTCTGGGTGAACACACTGAACCTAGCAACATCCTTCAAAATCTACTGGGCTGGATCCAGAATCCCTTCTCAGATTAAAAAAAGTGGTAGGGGGCATATTTCTATCCATAGAGAAGACAACAATCCAAGAGAAGCTCCAGCTGGAAGAAGGGAGAGGATATGATCTCTGACAGTTTCTCCTTCCTCTGACAGCTCACAACAACATTTCCCATTCTGTTCTGGGGAATTCTTTGACTCCCCCAAAACAGCATTTTGCAGGGAGCAAAGTTCACCACTGATGCCAAGCCATCAAGCACCAATATCTACAGCACACAATCTACGCAGAATGAGGGAGCAATGCTGAAGTTTTGGAATTTATTGTGGACCGAAAATAAGGAACAAGGTGCGCTCTCAGGTGGAAATAGCTTAAGATATGGCAAAAAAAAAAAAAAGCAGAACAATGGTTTGTATGGTATTCCTCCATCAGGTATAAGAGGCTAACTTTGGCATCCAATAAAATAGTTCAGATAACAAATATAGGCACTTGCAGCCTAATGATGATATAAATGGATCTAATTCAATTAATAGTACACTCACATTTTATCATCCTTCCTGTGAAAAATATAACACAAGTAGTGGCAATGGTTCAGTTCCCTTTCCCCTCTTTCTCCTGGAGAAACTCTTCATTCACACAATTGCTACTATTTGAAAGTAGACCTAACCCTATAACTCAGTAGTCTGAAGTGCACAACTGAATTTTTCAGAAATCTTCAGTAGTACTTTTGAAGATGCCACAGGTTACCTTCCATTAATGTTACCACAAGCAATCCCTTCTGCCTATTTCATCTGCCATTCAATTTCTCTATGGTATCTTGGACCAAACAAATATCAAAGTGACAAGTTTAAGAACATGCCCAACACAGGTAGATCTTTGTTTCAAACCAAAGACTGCAATCAAGACACGCGTTCTTAAGCTCTTACAGGTCAAAGACCAGGAAAACAGATTTAAAATAAATCAAGTAAACAATATTTTAAATTCTAAAAGCAAGTGCTTTTTGTCACTACCTCCTCTCCCACAAAATAGCACCTCTCACTGTTTTAGCAATCCTTTATTGAAGATAACAAGTTGGTTATGTTCACTGTATTGTATGAAACATCACAATATCATACTGGGAAGGTACTATCAGTACAGGATTGGACCAGAGTAGACAGTCTGAACAATAAACCATTTTGCATTCTTCATCCCTAACTTTTAACATCCCCTCCCCTCCCCAGAAAAAAAAAACTCAATAGGGACAAATACCTGTTAACATCATCATTTAGAACACTTTTAACTTACAAGGCTAAAATCTAATGAATAAATAAAATATATTGTGGCATTAATCCTCTCTAGACCACCCCCCTCCCCCAAATCAGATACACAATGAACCAAATGATTGGGAAAGCTGGCTATAGGCACCAGGCTACTGAGTGTACATGGGCTGACACTCAAGTGTGTATATAGGAGGGGGGGGGGAGTTACAGAAAAATACCATGAATTTTATTTCACACAAAACCAGTTGATGACTGTCATTAGCTTAAACTACACACAAGGGCAATTACATCCTCGTTGAAACACAGTTTAAACAAATAGGAAAATGTTTACAAGGCATCCACAGCATGTAAATCATGTACAGATGGATACATTCATTGTTTCCCCTCCCCAATAGCTTTTATTTATTTATTTTTTTAGATAAATACTTTACTCTTCTCCACTTTCAGCATTAACTGGACTCAATACATGCACAACTCAAAAAGAATTAAGAAAAAAATAAGGTTATTGCAAAAATAGAATTAAACTAAGAATCTTCAAGTACCTTACATGACGGCCACTCTGTACCATGCCCATTGCTTATAAAATGAAAGGTCACTGAACCCATGAAAATATCTCTAATATTTTCTTAGATTTAAAATAGATAATTTTAGCTGTATTTATAGTAATCTCAAAGTGATAATTTGAACTTTGTAAATAATGCAAACAATTAAAAATTATACCCATATTACACAAGACCTCTCTTTTAAGCTGATAGAAATCAAAGGAAAAAAACTATAGAAAACCACATTTAGAACAAAATCACAATTTACATTATAATAAAGGCAAATATTCAGCATTAAAAAACTTGCAGCAATGAGTGAGATGTCAAAGCAAATTACAACTAATCATAAATTAAGTTGTTTGGTTTAAAAAGATTTTTTTCTAGCAAGAGTTTAAGGATGTGTTATACACATGCGTAAAATTCTTATTGGTTTTAGATGCCTAAAATCTCCTTATATTATTGCCAAATACATCTTATCTTAAGCAAGCGGTAGGCAACATATCACAATTTGGGCACTGTAGGGAAAAACCTAACAGTCTGGTAAAACTGGAAAATTAAAAAACAGTAATAATACACATCTTATAGCATATTGCCCAACTGAAATGATTTCCAAGCCCAGAGCTACAAAAGCCTTCCAACTTGGTAAGGTGAAGTAAATAAGTGTCTCATTACAATTATCTGCACTCAAGTGTGCATGTACGGTTAAGTTTTGTTAAACCATAGTGTATCTTCGGAGTACAACTACAATCCCATGGTACCTTATGTACATTTAGTGATGTGCTCCCAGCATTACTCCTTCCTTGTTTTATTTTGGGGGAGGGGGGCTCAGGCTCCATAAAGGTTTAACCAACACGCCCAAGGCTGGTAAAAATACTGTAGTACAGGCAATGCTAAGAGTGGCAATTATCAGAAAACACAAATATGAACAAATGATGGAAAATCCTAATAATTTCTTTCTGCCCATTTCACAAAATGTTGGAAATCCACCAGAATTTTTCCCTTGTACTGAAGAAAACTGATTAAAAGTTTTTTCCCCATTTTTTCAGATTCAAAAGCATTTTAGCAGATCTGTAAGGCTACCACGGATCTTCTAGATCGCCAGCACCCTACAGGAAAAGAAGAGGGAAACTGTTAGTCTTCTACTGATGTCAAGGAAGATGAAAACCACACAGTTCTGAACTGCACATTTGAAAGACACCCACAGAAGAGAAGAAATTGGCCCTTGTTTTCCCATTCATAGGAGGCTTACAACCTCACAGAAGCAACGTTCCTGCCATTGCTTCCTGTCCCAGGATAGTAACGTAGTGGCAGGAGGTACTGTCACAAACACAACAATTTTCTGGCTGTTCACTCAAAAGCTTTACAAGTACAAGAGTAGGTGCAACAACCACATCTGCCAAGGAGAGGGCTGGAGCTAAAACGTGTAATCATTATTAATATTAGCACTTATATAGTTTACTGTAGACATAGTGAAGGGAGTTATTAAAAGGCAAAACCCAATTAATTGCAATAAATATTAACTGTACTTGGATCCAGCTGAAGCCACTGAATTAGAAGTTGATCATTATGAACATCATTACTCTTCTGTGTCAGAAAACTTAGCATATTACTCTTGAATATTTAAGCAAAGTTGATAGCTGCTCTTTTTGGCAACAGCTTATACTACCCCACACTCGTTAAAATAAAGTCCATATGCATTCAGATTATTCCACACATGTTTTATTTAATCTTAAACAATAACTCTTGAAGCTAAGCACTAATCGCCAGTACATTTTTCCCCACTGGATACATAGTGCTGCGTGCATCCTCAATACAGTCTTGTGTACATACTATATAGTCCAAATTACAGCCTAACATAAACATCATAGTTTAATAGCTAACATAACATGCCTGAACTTGAGACTAATCTGCCATTGGCATTAACTATTCACCAGTCAAATATACTCATGCAATATTGGTTTTACGATGTTTAATCGAAGAAAGGAAGTTATAGTCACAAACTATAAATGCTGGAAAAGGGTGATGATTTTAGATTCTTCCAAAAAAATTAATTTTAAAAAATAATAAAAGTAGCCTGTTTCTCTGGCAAGCATTTATAACATGACAGTCTTCAAAGTTTACCCCAATGCCACCAAGACGTAAATCCACACAAGCTTCTTAATCAGCCTCTACGAACATAAATGTTTTCTGCTTCCTGCCAAGTTTGCAGAAGACAAGCGGGTGGCAACGCTGTGCAAGCTATAGTTGGCAATGGCTAAGATTCTCTGACAGAGCTCCCCCCAAAAACACAGAATATCCTTTTAACAAAACTGACAAACGTGAACTCTCTAAGGTGTGACAAATTTTAAGAAACTGAAAACATCGTAACTAAACCATCAATTCAACTCTGAAAAATGGGGTTACATTTTTTCATCACAATGTTCATCACTCATCTCTGAATCTTCATTAGCATCCTGCATTTCAGCAAGTGGGGGCTCACATTCGGCTGTGGCGGTTTTCTCTTCGTTACTGGATCCATCAGTGGACTCTGAGGTTGAGGCTGTAGCTGATTCGGCATTAGAGCAATCTTCTCCCTGCATTTTAGCTAGCCTGTAACTAATCAGCACGTCCTCCAGAAGGTGGCGGTAGTTCCCCCTATGAGTAATTCTCACTTGTCTGAGAGCTTCCACCAACTTTCCCTGCGTTCCACCTGCTGCAGCATCGCCAGGGTCCTTATTTAAGATTTAAGACCTCAGAATCAGATGTTAAGTCTAAGGTATTTCTAAAGTACTGAACATAAGATACAAGCTATGGCCTAGAAATAAACTTTCAACGAGTCTTAATGTGTCTTGGCAAAAATCTTTACAAGTGCTCATTGAGTGTTCTAGTATTTATGGAAATATGGAAAATATACAAAATATGGAATCAGATATTCTGTCCTGAAATGCACATGAATGATGTTCACTGATATCAGCTGCAGATGAATACCATCAATAATTTTGAGGATTTAAATATTCATCATTGATATATTTAAATAGAGTAAAATACAATTTTAAAAAAATCTGTGAACAGCTTAAGTAAAATGAGTTGCCATTTAAGTTCTTTACAGAGAATATATATCAGGTGCGCTTGAATGATCTATGTTACGTTGCTAATGGAAAGCTTACTGCCAAAGGGATTCATTCATGGAAATACCACATGACTTTCAGAATTCTGAGCTAATACATTTGAAAAGCACATGAAGCTATAGGAGAAAAAAACCCTGAGTCTTTCAAGAGACAATGCTGAAAATGCATGACAAAGGGTCTCATAAGTAGTTCAAACCCTGTTGAAGGTTCTGATTTCAAAGTGTTCTCCTTCTTATAAAACAGACACCCAGGTTACTTAATGAAGTAGATGGTTCAGGACAGGAAAGAAGGATTTCACAGAGCAAATGCAATACATTATTTGCTACCACAGGATATAGTGATAAAGACCAAGTCAATTCAGCTTATTAAAGGTATCAGACCCATTCTTGGAGAGTTAAGTTGACCACGAAGGTTATGATGCTACATGTCACCTCTAAAAAAGCAATGTTTCTGGGTATCAAATGCTGGGGGGCGGAGGGAAAGATTATAACTAATATCCTGCTTGTGGGATTCTCATGGGCATTTATCTACTTTGTAAAATAGGATGCTAATTTACGATACAACTTTGGTCCACAATAGCTCTTGTTTATCTGGGTCTCATGCTAGACACCAAATATAAGATGAGGGCCTTTGTTAATATGTAGCTATATGTGTATGCACACAAACATACATACACACCTGCATGCAGCTGATAGCAGCAAAATATAAGCAGTCAGACATGTAACAAATAGCTAGCAATAAACCCTCACTAGACCTTCCCTTTTGAAAGCCACTGATAATACAAGGTGTTTCAAAAAGATGGATCTGATTTGAAATTGGATCTGATTTGAACTGCCCATGATTGAAACTCTTAGCAGGTGAAAGCATGGGGCATAGAGTTTCAAATGGTTATTGCTAGATGCCTCCCCCAGCGCACAAATAGCCTCAGTCAATTGCAATATGGCAACCA